GATTTTGTGGAAAATCTCAAATTATTTGATTTTGCTGTAAATATGGTGTGTATGGTTATATGTTAGTTGAATAATTGCTTTTTCTTTTTTTCTCTCTTTTTTATTTATTATATTTTTATTATTATTATTTCTGTATGTTTTTTAATTTTTATTTATTGTTTATATTGTTATAATAATTATTATTTCTTTGTATTTGTTTTTAAACCTACATGTGCAATTGTAGATTTGTTCATTTTTGGCTAATGCGAGCGCTATCCCGCGGTTGGATTGGTATGGGTTTGGGGTTTGTATTGTTGTTCTTTCCCATTTGAAAAACTGAAAATCAATAAAAAAATATTTAAACGAAAACATCAATTAGCACTGACAAAAACCAGAAACAATCATCTAACTAATGCTGTGATGAATTGATATTTGCGCAATAATTCCAAAATGAATGTTTAATAATTATAAAATATGAATGATGACGAAGATGACAATAATACTAACAATGAATAACATTTATCATTATCATGCTGCCTTGAATGTGTGATTGCTTTAAAAAGTCCTACTGTTACTTTATGAAAAATTAATCCTGCTGAAAAACTAGTCCTACTGTTACTCATTTTGAGGCAGCAACGGGCGGACGTGCAACAACTTTAACTATGAGGTAAACACAAAACAAAACTTTCCATCCGGAGCTCCTTCACGGGACTCCACACTTGTAAACAATCGCTCCATCAGGCTCGCACCATTCGCGCGGCTCTCGGTCCCGCCCAGACTCGTCAGCGCTACCAAGCCGACCAATCACAGAGCTTGCGCTACGCGTCATTGCGACGTGTAGTTACATTAGGCTCGTTTGACTTGACCAAAATCTGCGCAGAATCGATCACCGGTGATCACCGCAAGATGCATGCCGGTTAGAAATGTGTCCGCCTTGCCTTCGCCTCGCTCTGATGTCACGCTGACGTGCGCCAAAAAACTCTCGCGATCGCGAGGCGGGTACCTCGGATAGAGCAGTCGGCCGCAGTTGCTCTCAAAAGACTGCGCTCACTAAAAGCATGATGGGAAACGACTGGCTGACGACACAGCTGAATGCTCATTGGATGAGACTGACACATTACACTTTATTATCTTGTTTTACTAAGGTTTATACCTGGATTTGTTGAATACCTTTTTTGTATTTTCGTTGATAATTAAAAAAAAAGTCATAAAGAGCATCAAATATGGTTATTTATTTAGATTTACACGCAAACAAAAACAAAACACATCTTTGTAAAACATAACGTGACCTATCCAATATAACTAAATGTTATTAATAAATCATTAGGATGTGTGTGTGCTGTATTATATTTCTCTCTCAGTCTTAAATCCTGTTTGTTGTCATTTTCACTTTTTGTATGTTTGTGTGAATTTTGTATTGTAATTTTTATGCAGCATTATTCGATTAAAGTCAATCTAATATATACATATATTCAGAAATACAAAGATAATCAGACTGTTTTGTCATTATGCCGCATCTTTGTGTGGTTTCATATGAGAAGTGAAAAGGGTGTAGTAAACAAGACACACACGCACACACACACACACACACACATATGTATATGTATATGTATGTGAAGTCAAAAGTCATGTTTAATAGACCAAGAACATTTCCACAGTTTTTCCTACAGTCTAATAGTTTTTATTCTGGAGAAAGTCTTGGGCTATTTATTTTAGTCTGGCTGGACTAAAAGCAGTTTATATAGACCTAATAAGCATGTCAATATAATTAACCCCCTAAGAATTTATTTGTCAAACAAACATTTGTCATGACTTGTCACTCAAAAGCATCTATGGCTACTTCATTTATAATGTAGCCAAATTAGGTTTCTTGAAAGTTTTCTTGCTGTATAAGCTGTTTATTTTGTTATTCTTTTAACGTTTGTTGAATATAGCCTACATAATTATATTTTTAATACACCCTTTTAGTTAATGAGCGGTTCATCTTCTGTAATTCTGACCATCTCTGTAAAAACAGTGATATTTCTATTGCATCCACTCCCACATTAAAAAATACTATAGTAATGTATACTGTAGTGCTTTTGAACCATGTTATAAAATAGCCTATTTAAATTTTATAGTTCTGGTATCACAACAACTATAAACACAACCCAATACTGAATAAACATGTTCAAAAATGTTATAATATTTACTACAAATCACCATAGTATTTTTTCATGAGGTCATTCGTCTGCGATAAAAAACGCGAACGAGATCTCCGCCACTGGTGACGTTTCCAGGTGGCTAAACAGCGAGATTCAGCAGGTGTCCGACTTCTGATGTAATTTTTGAGCCCTCCTCTTACTGCGCACGCCTGCTCTCGTTTACAATGCAGTCAAGGCGAGGCGCACCTCAAACGAGCCTATTTTTTGAGAGGTGCACGTCAGCGACGCAGACGGCCACGGTGAAAGGCTATGCGTCAGCGCCGTAGCATACGCCGCCGTTTGACGCAGAAGTATAAATCAGCCTTTACGCAATGACTTGCCTAATTACTCTATCCTGCCAAGTTAACCTAATTAACCTAGTTAAACACTAGAATCCTAAAAACATCTAGTGAAATATTATCAACTGCTGCTTAAAACATATGCCAGAGTAGTTGACGGTCCATTCTGCTGTGGCAACTCCTAATAAATCATGGACTAAGCTGAAGGAAGGTGAGTGAAAATAAAATTAAATAAATTGCAATCAAATTAAATCAAATTAAATAATAGGTGGTTCATTCCACTGTGACAACCCCGAAGGATAGTGAGTGAAAATAAAATCAAATAAAAATGTATTTGTATGCATATATATATAATATTTTTAAGCAAGGCTTGCAAAAATGTACATGAACATTTGCATTTATCAACATTTATATTGATTATCCGCCTTCATAAGTGTTGTTAGTTATTGGTATCAGTCCATTTTATTTGTTATTATATTATTATCAGTCCATTTCCATATTATGCATCCCTAATAATAATATTAGCAATATGCTTACTGTAGGACAACTCATCGGTTAAACGAGTGGGCTACTGATGACACATAAGATGAAAATCACTGACTAGGACATATCACTTTTAATGCATTTACTGTCATTATATTACAATGTTAGTGTAGTATTGGTTTCAGTGCCTCAGATGACCACAGTAATGAGGTGTTGGTCTGGATCTGGGTGTCACTTTCTAAATTAACATTTACTTTTTATTTTCTGAACAATGCTTGTTTTATTGTAAGGAATTCATGATGATGGTTGGGGGCACTGTGCAATATGTTACATGGATTAAAGATGAATTGTCTTCTTTGATTATTTAACTCCTGTGGGTCAAGTTTTAGGTCAAATAAGTCCTAAGAAGAGAAGACAAAAATGTATTGTGTCATCAAAATACTTTGCTGACATAAATGTCTTTATAAGCACCAGGCATGATGAGTACTATCAGAAATTCATTCATTTTGATGAGTTGAAAAAAAAAAGCAAAGTACAGTAGCTTTAGTTATTGCCAATGCTGATTTTTATAAACAATAATAATGATAATAATAATAATAAAACTATTATTTTCCACAAATTAACTGCAAATCAGATTTATTATCTTGATAAGATAAATATTATAAATAACTCTAATAATTTTAATGCAGTCACATAAAAAACTGAAAACAAATCACATACAACAACAGGTAATTTCCATAGCAATGCAGTAATTTTAATTATTTCACCAGCAGTGCTCAAAAGCTGAAAACAGGAGGAAATCAAAGTATTTGCTCACTTCAAACCTGAGAAAATGGTGTCAAAAAGGTGCAAAGTAATAAAAAGGTTATAATTTTGCAACAACAAGCCTTGCCAATAAAACATAAATATAAGCAACATCAAATATAAAATATTGGGACTGTCCTATGATTCAAGAATTTTGGAAAAATATTAAAAAAGAAATAGATAAAATATTAGATATAGAAATAACCCTCAATCCGTTATGTGCTTACTAGGAGCATTGCCCAATAAAATATTTAATAAGGAAACAAGATTTGTCTTTAGGATATTATTACTGGTTGCAAAAAAAAAAATGATAACAGTACATTGGACAGAAGAAAGTTCTCCAAAGGTGGCTCGGTGGATTCAGAGACTTAAACAGGTGTATATAATGGAAAAAAATGACTGCATGTCTACAAATGAAGACTGATATTTTTCTGAAGAGATGGAAAAGTATTATGACATACTTAGATATGTATATTTAGAGATTGCTTAACCTATCATCACTGTAATTTGATGTAACTACAATGCAACACAATGTAACTTGATGTACAAATGCATCCCCTGTAAAGTAATTATGCTGGCAGCATCTTTTATTTTTATTTTTTGTTATAATTTCATATATATATATTTTTTTTTTATGTATCCCCTTGTGTGTAAGGGGTAAAACTGTTGGGAAAGGGGTTGTTCTGGAAAAAAATATATATTAAGTTATAAGTAAAATTATTATTATTTTTTTAATAATTAAAAAAAATATATATATATATATATATATATATATATATATAAAACTTTGTCAAAGAATACATTAATTAAATGGTATAAAAATATTGATTTTATTAATTATTGTTGAACTGTAATTAGTTTAATGTTTACATAATATAAAATAGATTTCTGACAGGAATTGAGGGTGAAATATTAACATTTCAATGAAAGGGATTCTTTTGGACTATATTTAGGTTATGCTGTTTGCATTAACAAACAAAACAATATAAAAATAAATTAATTAAATACAAATGAAATAAAATGAAAAAGGCAAAACTGTCCATAAAAAGGCACAAGGGTTAACCCAACTGTACATACAGTACAACAGGTCTCAAAGAAATCATATAGCCTAGTGCAAAAACAAGTACACATATTAAATACGAGTTACTGAGTGTTAATGAACATAAATAACAACAACTAAAGTTACAAAAGCTTAAAATGAATGCTTTATGTATTTACAAAATAAGAAACACTTAATAATAATAACTCTTACCTCTTCCTGATGTTACAAAGTGATTCTCTGAGTGATTTCTTGTGGGTTTGGTGACCTGCTTCATATTTACAGCATGTGATAATGATGACGATTATGATGAAGAACTCCTGTTGTGTCTTAAAGAGAAGAATCAATTATTTCTCCTCTCAGTCCATCACAGAGAGTAACCGGTTCAAGTCTGGAGTCACTGATGTACTTATAGAGACACAATAATAAACTCTACAACGAGAACTGAAAGCGCGTTAGTGCGAAAAAAAACGCTCTATTATTGAACTTTCCTTCCTCTGTATTTGTCGTCTGCGTTCTAGCCTGTCATTGCCTGTAAAACCGAATAAAACTCGACGCAAAGTTCTGGAGCAAACACCAAACTCTCCAGTGTTTTACGCCGAGTGACAGATGTTGCTGTAAAAGCAGTGGGCGGGAGGAAAGATCTGATTAACCAATTATACTTGATGCATATTGGCTAACACGCTTGTTCTTCTAACAAGGAGCCAATGAGATCATCGCATTTCCTGTCGGGCGGAGTTTAGCATAGCATAAAAAAAAACTGTAAAAAAAAATACTATACGTTGTTTGAAGCTGTGGAATCATGTTATTTTTTTTATAATAATACGTTTAACCAGACTGTAAAAATTAAATTGAAATCCCAAATAATAAATATAAAAGAATAGTTTAACAAACAAAAATACTCCCCTTCCAAACTCACATAACGTTAGTTGTTTACATAAAAAAAAATCCATTGGACACTAATAATGACAAAATATTACTAACGTTCATAGAAAATGTAGCTACAATATGAGAAATGGACTCAACTATGACATAATCCATATGCTCAGATTTAGGCTATTGATAAATGCTGTTGGGGTATATGCACACAGACTTTTAATGTGTAGTAAGTCAGACGGAGATACCATATAAAGTGGATCTTAGGCCAGACAAGAAGCACTGTATTAAATTCCTTTGTTCTGTGCCATGTATTCTACAGCAGTATTTTCGATGTGGTTTCTGCGCTAGCCTGCTGCTACTGACCTCGCTTGCGTTCAAACGGCGTCAGTAGCAGCAGGCTAGCGCAGAAACCACATTAAAAATACTGCGGTAATGTTGTCCATAGTAATGTTGAACACCTTGATTAGTTGTATCAGCTGTGTTTGATTAGGGTTACAGCAAAACTGTGCAGAGCTGCGGCCCTCCAGGAATTGACTTTGAGACCTTGACTTAACTGATTGTATTTTAATCGCATTACATCAATGGTGTAAACGGAACCTATGAAATTAAAAATAGACACATTAACCAATCACTGGAAGTTTATCTCTGGTGAAAAAACACCAGGCTGTGCGCATTACGCCAAAATTACTTCAGAAAACACCTTTTTTGGTCTTGAATTGAATTGAATTACACCATAAATAACATTCAAATGTCAATAACTGGTTTGACTGTGCATAAGGCCAGCTAGTGAAGTGCTGTGCAGGTAAACCTCATTCATCTGACCTCTAAAGGTGCTCTAGTGAGAGATGCTAAAAGCCATGGTTTTTAGCCTCCTTGTTAGAGCAACCGACTCTAATACAAAGAATCCCCAGTTTGATTCCAGCTCAGACCGGGTTGGGTGCAGTAGGACCAGCGGGTTACACATGGGGGCTCGTCTGGGATGAGAGTGAGGTTTGGGGTGGTGAGTGTAACAGAGGCCAACTAGTGAAGTGCAATGCAGGTAAACCTCACTCCTCTGACCTCTAAAGGTTATAGCGACAGATGCTAGAAGCCATGGTCTTTAGACCCTCTTTGATAGAGCAACTGACTCCCAAGCACAGAATCGGCGGTTAGATCCCAGTTCAGACCAAGTTGGGTGCAGTAGAACAGGTGGGTTACACGAGGCATGTGTAACCCACTGATCCTACTGCACCTATCCTGTTCTGAGCTGGGATCTAACCGCCGATTCTGTTACATGAAGTTCTTAACAAGTCATATTACCTACAGACCTTTTTTTACCACTCATGAATCCCAAAAAACACCAAGTAAAAACCATTTGTGAGATCCAGAGTCCCAAGTTTTGAAAATGCAGTCTGGTTGGTCATAGCACTACAAATGTAATGGCTTTACTATCATGAAAATGTGGGTGACACCGTGGCTTAGTGCATCGCACTATCGCCTCACAGCACAGAGGTTGCTGGTTTGAGTCCCGGATGGGTCAGTAGGCATGCTTGTGTGGAATATGTGGAAAACATGATTACGTGGAAAGTTCTACTCCTAATCCTGGGGTCTGTTTTTTTGGACTACTGACCTGCTGTATGTGGAGACGAAAGCATTGACGGTGGAATTGGACGGCGTGATGGATCTGCCACCTGTGCGGCAGTAGGTCGAAAGACTGTGCTGGTGATAATTCGGAAAAAGTTTATGAACCAGATTAAAATCAGTTCAAAGACAGAAGGAAAGCTTCTTGAGAAATGTGTGACCATTCCTATTATACAAGAACCTCAGAAGTCTGGCAAGGAACATAATTTCGAACCCTAGTCATGTGTTAAATCATGAATTTATACCATTCAAGTCTAATTTAGAGTCCCAAGTTTGATAAACAGAAATTAAAAGTCATTTGTACATCAGGCTGACTTGAAGCTGAATAAGGCCTGTGTAAAATGAATTGCTGCTTTGTATGTCTTCGTCTTTGTAAGGAGTATTTATCATGCTGTAATGCAAAAAAAAATCCAGATGCAAGTCTGACAATAAGTCTGTAATGTATTGTATTGTGTTGTATTGTATTGTATTGTATTGTTTGCATGTTCTCCCTATGTTTGCAAGCACTGTAAGAGCCAACAGTTATATCAAATGAAATGAGTGTAGTTAACTCAAAATGTTCTTAAAGTTAGAGCACTCATTTAAAAAGAGTTTTGAGTAACTCAGTGTTGAAGGTAATGAGTTAATTAAATACCTCATTACTTATACTTAAATGGAGTAAGATCACAGTACCAATATAGATTAGTTTTTTATTTTAAATGCTTTGTTGCAATCGATTTCCTCAACGGTTTGAGTTGCCTTAACTTATTGGGATTTACAGTATTCAGGTGGTTTATTCTCTTCATTTATTGGGGTTTATTGTGCACAAATTGTTTCGTTTGCTTAAATGGATTAAGTTCACAGTACTCATTTAAGTTCACAGTTTAGTTTTTAAACTTAAATGGTTTGTTGCAATTTGTTTCCTCAAATGGTTTGAGTTACCTTAACTTTTTGGGTTTTAAAATGTGGGTTTCCTCCAGTTTCCCCACTGTCCAAAGACATGCACTATAGGTGAATTGAATTAAATAAATTGGCCGTAGTGCATGTTTGTGAATGGATGTTTCCCAGTATTGGGTTGCAGCATGAAGGGCATCCGCTGTGTAAAATATATGCTAGATAAGTTCATTCCGATAATGTATAAAGGGTCTAAGCTGAAGAAAAATGAATAAATAATCAAAAAGTCACCATGTAAAAAAAACTGTCTGAATTCTAAAAACATCTAAAATACGCTTTTTATGCATCAAACATTTTTTATAACAAATGGTTGGATATTTTTTGCCATCAATAAATATTTGTGACTTGATCTAAAACTTTACCTCTTAATTATTGCTATTGCATATCTTTATCATGGTTCATTAAACTTAAAATCTGTACACCAAAGCAAACAAAAGATATCATTGTGTTGCTATACGCACACACGCACGCACTTAGACACACACATACACACCCAAATACAAATGCATTAACAACTCAAAAGTGTTTAATAACAGTAGTCCCTCAATGAAAGTTCTTTCTTTTTCTCAAAAACATCAGACAATCGTTTAAATAGTAAGGATGTTAAGTTGTCATTGCATTGATTGTGCAATAAATTAATGTAAGCACTACAAAATGTCATCTTACATTGTCTTCATTTTCAACAAATAAAACAGAACTGTTAACCCTACACATTTAAACAAACAAAAATCAGCAAAATCACGGTGTAAATTTGTTAAAAGCGTTATTTAAACAAATAAAATACTTTAATGGAACAACTTCCCAGTGAAGATCATTTCTTTTGACCTGCATTTGTAAAACATTCAACATTCTCAATGCTAATATCTTTGTTAGCTCTCTTACAAATCAGTTTTTAACATCTGATTGAGCTTCAGTGTGGTATAGACTAGAGTCATTTGCAATAAATATGCACCCACAAATGCATTCTCTAAGGTTTTCCTTGAGTTGAAATGAACATTTTGTAATATTTCTCTTCCCAAGTCAACACTGAAATAGTTTTATTTGCTGGACCGCAAATGCACTGGTCAGACATTCACACGGACCCCCTGCTCAACTGCCTGTGGGGTGGGTGAGTTAATCACGGGTAACATAATCCTATCTAACTGCTTTAGTTTCTGCAACAATAGAGCACCTGTCGTGGACATGAGGTGTGCAGAATGCTTCAGAAAGACACATATGCTCGTCTTTGACTCACTGAAACTGTGGGAACTTACAGTACTAGCGTGGGTAGCTGGTTTCTAGTATGTGGGAGATTTAAGTTTGAAATCAAAAGGCAGAAAGGCTTCTATACGCTATCTGAAGGCACCAGGTTTCCTGTGGTGTCCAGCTGCATGCATTTACAGGTGCACGCTGACACGGGACACTCACTGTGATCTCTGAAGGAAAGGAAAGAAACAAAATAACTGTACATTAAAATACTGTCCTTCATGCTAAATATTAGTGTATAAAAGAAGACTGGATTAATGGCTGCAGAAAAAGATCAGTTTTTAAAATCAATTCAGCTTTATTTGTATAGCGCTTTTACAATGTAGATTGTGTCAAAGCAGCTTCACATAAATGGTCATAGTAATTGGAACAGTGTGGTTCAGGTTTTAGTGTTTCAGGAAATGAGTACTTATTAAATTATGCAATGTGTAATGGAAAAAACATACTAGCAATGCAGTAAGTCATGTTAGCAAAATGTTATGTAATGTAGTAGCAACATAATAATGTGTTGTTTAAGCTCATTTGGGGCATTCAAGAAGTGTTCAATCATGCTAGCAACATAACAGCACCATGATGTTGAGGTAAAAATCATGCAATTGATTGTCCAAACAATAAAAACATTATGATATTATGTGCTAAAACAAGTTAAAAACATTTGAACGGTGTTAAAATGATACTAGCAACGTATTAGCTGTAGTCATGTTAGTAACATGTTAAAACTTTAGCATTAGCACAATAGCATCATGTTAAAACTTGCTAGCAATGTATTATATCAGTTTGTTAAAACACATTCAAAACAAAATAATATGTAGTAAAACACATGATGTATAACATAACTTGGTAGTCAGTTGTCATGTTAGTAATGTGTGAAAAGTTTATGCTAATTCTAAGTGTTAACAGTATTATAGAAGTGTGTTAATACTTCCTAACATGGTAAAACACAGTGATTTGTTAAAACCTTTGTGAAAATGAGCTAGTAATGTGTTATATTAAGGTATTAATTTGCTAATTCATGCTAACAATGTATTACAACATGCTAGTAGTATGTTCTATCAACGGAGCTATGTGTTAACAGCATGTTAGCAATGGATAAAAAAAGTTAATACTAAGCACATTCTAAGCATTGGCCGTATTCTAGACATGCGTTAATATTTGCTAACAACATGCTAAAACACAGTGATTTGTTTAAAACCTTGCAAGATTAGCTTACAATGTGTTATATCATGGTATTCAGGTGTTAATTCATGCTAACAAAGTCTTACAACATGCTAGCAGTATGTTGTACCGAGAAAGCTGTGTGTTAAATTGTGTTAACAGCATGTTAGCAATGTGTGAGAATTTAATACGAAGCACATGTTAAGCATTGGCAGTATGCTAGAAGTGTGTTCAAACATGCTAGCACAATATGTTAAAACACTGTAAAAACCTTGCTAAAATTTGCAAACAATGTGTTTTATAATGGTATTAATGTTTTAATTCATGCTAACAATGTTACAACGTGCTAGCAGTATGTTACATCAAGGAAGCAGTGTTAAATTGTGTTAACAGCATGTTAGAAATGGGTCAAAAGTTAATACAAAGCCCATTCTAAGCATTAGCAGTATGCTAGACATGCAACATGCTAACACACAGTGATTTGTTAAAAACCTTGTAAAAAAATGAGCTAACAATATGTTATATCATGGTAGTAACGTTTTAATTCATGCGAGCAATGTAGTACAACATGAGGAAGCTTTGTGTTAAATTGTGTTTAAACAGCATGTTAGCAAAGTGTGGAAAGTTAATACTAAGCACATTCTAAGCATTAGCAGCATCCTAGAAGTGTGAAAAAACATGTTAGCAACAGGCTGAAACATTGACTTGTTTAAAAACTTGTTAAAATGAGCTAACAATGTGTTAAATGAGCTAACAATGTGTTATATCATGGTAGTAATGTGTTAATTCATGCTAACAATGTGTTAAAACATGCTATCAGTATAGTGAGGGAGCTATGTGTTAAATAGTGTTTAAACAGCATGTTAGCAATGTGTGAAAAATAATACTAAGCAAGGACATACTAAGCATTAGCAGCATCCTAGAAGTGTGTTAAAACATGCAAGCAACATGTTAAAACACAGTGGTTTATCAAAAAAAAAAAAATTTAAAAGTATTTTATGATGGTACTAGTGTGTTAATTTATGCTAACAATGTATAACAACATGCTTCCAGTATATTATATTGAGGAAGCTGTGACAAATTGTGTTTAAACAGCATGTTAACAATATGTGAAAAGTTACTACTAAGCACATTCTCATCCTGCGTTCACACCAGACGCGGAACACATGTCACGCGCAAGTGATTTACATGTTAAGTCAATGCAAACATGCGAATAAACATCCTGTGGCACGATTCGCGCGAGTGGCGCGATACAGGCGAATTGAATATTTTAAGTGTTTGATCGCTGGAGTTTGAAAATCTGAACTTCAGCGGACATTCGCGCCACGTTAACCAATCAGCAACTTGCTCTTATGGGGGCGTGATTGTGACGTATCGCCTGTTGTTGGTGTCCCAGGGGAAATCCTCCAGCCGACACTGACAAAAAGTTAATCAAACTGGGCTCGGCTCAGTCAGAAGCACCGCTGAAAGCCTCCATCATCCAGGTTAAGTTTCTGGAGGAGTTTATGAGCTCACAGAGCTGGATGCACCTCTGAAAGGATCTAGTGGACTTAGACACGGCCCTGCAGTTATCGACACTGTTTTTCAGCCTTCATAAAGCACATAAACACTGTTATTTTCTTCATAAAATCCATGTTAGCCATTTAGTAACAAAGCTAGTCACCGGGCAGATAGAAGCCCTGCCCATCAAGCGAATCCACATCTATTCTGAAGTGAATTTGACGTGCAAATGAAGCGGGGTTTGACGCGCGAATGAAGCAAGTAAACTCAAATGTTCACGTGGCTATTTATGCACGAACATCGCGATTTATCCGCGCGTTTCGCATCTGGTGTAAACACAGCATAAGAATTAGTAGCAACATAGAAGCGTTTTTAAACATGTTAGAAACATGCTAAAACAGTGATTTGTTACAAATCTGATTAAAAATGAGCTAATGTGTTATATCATGGTATTAATGTGTTAATTCATGTTAAAAAACATGTCAGCATTTTCATTTAGCATAACGTGAAGTTAGAAACACTTTTAATGCATTAAACCCATTTTTTGCAGCCATGGTAAATAATGCTAGCACGCTATGCATACAACAGCGACAGTTTCAAACATACGAGCAATGTGTTAAAACCTCAAAAGCATAAGCAAACAAAGCACCAAATCATTGTAGCTAAATCAATGTGTTATCTTTATTTTTAAAATAAAAAGTTTACTGACCCCCAAACGCAGCATCATTGTATTTATCATGGTATTAATGTGTAAATTCATGTTAAAAAAACATGTTAGCATTATCATTTAGCATTATGTGAAGTTAGAAACACTATCGATGCATTAAATCCATGCTAGGAATGGTAAATGATGCTAACATGCTATGCGTTTAAACACTAGTGTCATATTCAAACATATTAGCAATGTGTTAAAATGTGCTAAATCATAGCAGCTAAATCTAAGTGTTATCTTTATTTTAAAAATAAAACATTTACTGTCCCCCAAATGCAGCATCATTGCATTGTATATGAATATGGCTCTTACCTGAACCAGCTAAGCATATGACCCGCATGGCCACCATGCCGGCAGTTGTGACACCAGGTAAACCAGTTATTAAACTGCGCTAGTTTTTTGTCTCGTGTAAGATCAGCTTTCTCGTCTGCTTTTCCTGTGCCTGATATGATGAAATAAGTGAAATTCAGAAATTAATATTATATTATTGTAGATATGATATTACTATAGTACATTATAGTATCAAACAGAAGTTTAAATGATCCATCAGTCACCTGGGCAGCTGGAAACAGGGGTGCCCATGTTCATTAAGCAGAGGGCACAGCGTGGGAGTGGTTTACGACAGCCCGGGCAACTGGTGACCTTTGACTTGGTGGGTGACCCGCTGACCCCGTACTGACTGAACCCACGGCCCTGATGTGGCATCGCTGAGCAGCTGTATGATATAGACTTCCCACAGAAATTGCAGCTGACAAACACCTGCACAGATGCAAGAGAATGACAATAAATGGAACAAAAGTCAACAGAAATTGATCAGGATAGGATATAAAATTAATAAATCTTTCTTGTGCATCAAATCAGGATATGAGAATGATTTCTGAATTATAATATCAATGTAGACTGTCGAAGTATTATGTGATGATGCTGAAAATTCAGCTTTGCATTAAGAGATACATTCATTAATTCTCCTTCGGCTTAGTCCCTTTATTCATTAGGGGTCCACCAACTTATCCAGAATATGTTCTACCCAGCGGATGCCATTCCAGCTGCAACCCAGTACTGGGAAATACCCATACACGCTCATTCACACACATACACTATGACCAAGTTAGTTTATTCAATTCACCTATAGCGTATGTGTTTGGACTGTGGGGGAAACCAGAGCACCCAGAGGAAACCCACACCAACACGAGAACATGCAAACTCCACACAGAAATGCCAGCTGACCCAGCCAGCACTCTGAGCCACCATGCCGCCCAGCTGCATTCATATATATATATTCAAATAGAAAACTTAAATACAGTATTACTGCTTTACTGTAAATGTGCTCAAATAAATTAAAAAGAATTTTAAAATTTACTCATTCATTCATTCATTCATTCATTTTCATGTCGGCTTAGTCCCTTTATTAATCTGGCGTCGTCACAGCGCAATGAACCGCCAGCAAGTTTTTACGCAGCGGATGCCCTTCCATCCGCAACCCATCTCTGGGAAACATCCACACACACTCATACACTACGGACAATTCGGCCTACCCAATTCACCTGTACCACATGTCTTTGGACAGTGGGGGAAACTGGAGCACCCGGAGGAAACCGAGGCTCGAACCAGCGACCTTCTTGCTGTGAGGCGAACGTGCTACCCACTGCGACATTTAAAAATTATATAAACAAAAATCTTATAAACTAGAAATTACAGATGAATTGATATTGCTATTAGACCGATAATAATTATCCGTCAAGCCATCTTTAAGGGTCACACTTGACTCAAAACTGAACGTAGCCTTAAAATTAAACTTCTCCGGAAAATTATTACAATAAATTTTTGCTCAGTTGTATATTTGTGTTTTTGTTTTATTTGATTTAGAATTTTGAGCAGATTTTAAGATACTATTTGGAATACTTCTACAATTTACAGTAATAAAATGATTAACCCTACTGTGAATTTTGTATGTTTTTTCAAATATTTTTCAGGGTATATGCAGGAATCGTAAAGGTAATTTCAATACCTTTTTAAAGACCTTCTCAGAATATTTTAAGACCCCATCGCACCTCAAGTTCTAGTAAGTATCAAACGTTTAATTTAATAAACAGTTGTTAATAAACATTTGTAGTTAAATATATCACTGGAGCCCAACCATGCAACAGAACTCAGATGAGCTTTGAAGAATAAATTATGTGGTTGTTTTCAGCGACAGGCTTCAGCTACTGTTTAAACCCATCTTTCTCCAACCAGGAGAATGCAAACTTACATTTTTCCATTTTGCCATCTACTTGCATAGTTTCGCTACATGTGGAGAGCATTACATCACCTTCCCGCGTTTGTCGCAAATTACGTGACATCACCCGGATGAAGGAGTTTGGCCGGACGCGCCCCGGCCTGAACCAATCATGTGGATCAAGCATGCTGTTGTTAATATTAGTAGGAAAATAAATATATTTCTGCTTTTTTTGGAGTCAAACACTTTGGACAATGCTTGAACAAAATTTAAGACCTCGTTAGAACACGATTAGGACCTTAATAACTTTAAAGGGCTCAATTTTACTCATGATTGATTTATCAACCCAATAGGCCAGTCATTTTCATTCGGCGGCCATGTTTGAAATGCCTCTCAGGCAGTATGCTTGGGCATTCTGTTTGAATTGGGAAACATCAAATTCTCCAAACTGCTTGCCAAGCTTACGATAGAATTTCATATTAGAAATCATCAATAGAATTAAACAACAATCGTCTCTTTAGTTTCATTTCTAAACATTCGAATCAGACATAATTTGCAGAAACTCACATCTGGCTCAAGCCCCTCCCCCAGAGAATCATCAGTTTTTAGCGATCAATGATTGGCTCCTGTACTAGAAGGCGGGGCTTCATTCGCTATATTGACCGATACATTTTTCCTCAATCAAATTTATATGAGTGACGTGTCTTGTGTATTCTATAGTCTTTAAATTGCCAAACATTAAGCATAATAATTTTAATAACTGAAGGAGGCTAATAAGACAGAAAAATCTAATGTCATAACCAGTAAATTAAAATGTAATTTAATTTAACATATGCATACAAACACATGCACACATAAATATATGTAGCATTTTTAAGGCCTTTATTAAAGTAAGAATAGTGCCATCTGGAGGTTTTTTACTACCCACCAAGTGTCATGCCATTCATTTTTGATCAAATAACCCATTATATATATCAAAAACAAATTTGGGCAGTGTTTATATCTGCCGTATGCACTTGAAACAACTATCAGAAAGAAACATGATGCTAACCTGTGCAAGTGGTTTTGAGCTGGGATCCAATTTGCTTCTATGAATGTCAAATTCAGCCCGTTTATGCCAGAACCTCCAGGCGTCCAACAGGTTACGATAGTTCTCGATCCAACACTGCACCCGAGGGTCCTTCAGCACCTCTCCTGGGGAACCCTAAAACACAACAAACTTATTATTCTGTTGATGTACAGGTCAACTTTTTGAGCAATGTTGTCAGGCAGAATGATGTTGATTGGCTACTTTTCCATTTAGAATGACCAACAATATTGTATTTGTAACCCATTGCCCTGATAAGTTATTCTGTGTCTCCTGGTTGCCCATTTATGACATTTTTTCCCATAAGGTTTTTTGCCCAATAGCATTGCTCAAAAAGGTTGCCCTGTCTATCATCAGCATTAGAATGATTTTTGAAAGATCACTCCCAAAAAAGATCCACCTATATACATAAAAAAAAGGGAATTGCCTGAAATATACGACAGAGAGGTAGATTATAATTAGGGGTGTCACGATTTCGATTTTTAATCGAAATCAATCGAAATTTATGCTCAATTTCGATTATCGAATCAAAAATAGAATCGTCGATGCTGCCACGCCCCCATGTCACGTTAGCTTGGCTTGCCAAGCGTGAAAAAACAGGCTTGTTGAAGGGCTTGGTAAACTGCAGACGCAGGAGACCCGTCGACAGAGCTTAAATCCTCTCCTCTTTCAATGAAGTCGCCGGTGTGTAAGTATTTTGGATGTCCAGTTAGTTATGTTGACAACGTTCGTGTTGTCGTCAAAAAAAAACACAGTTTGCAAGCTCTGCTATGTACGTATTACGTTTGGGATGATAGACGATGGGCGCATCGCGATCCTCCGCCCCGCACCCGTTGCAAATCCGCTTGCGAAAAAAACACACTCAGGCCCTGTTTACACTAATATGTCTTTGTTTTTAAATGGCATTTTAGAACGACAACGATCCACATCCACAGTGTCGTGTAGCATTTCTGAGCAGCCCTCCTTACTCACTACCGCTGAAAACGCACATCACGTGACCACACACACTCATTCACACACAGATAGGACGCACACACATTGTCATGCGCTCGAGACAGCGGGTCAAGGAAGTCAGCGAGTCAGTAGATTGCTTCCATCTTTTACTTTCACACAAGTACTTAGTCATTTTAGCGAACACCTCAGATACTGTTGGCTGGTTCCTGTTGGTTGTGCGTCTTTTTTACCGACGCCATTATAACGACACAGATCACTGCCTATTCACGAGTCCCGCAGAAAAAAGTGATTGACAGGTGGTAATTATGTGTGTATCTTGCCTTTATTCATTTACTGTATGATTTGTTTATGGGTAAAACAAAGACCATGCAAGTCAGGTAGTTTAAAAGGTAGGCTACTAATAATTAATTCGTTATTAATTAATTAATTATTCATAATCGAAAATCGAATCGAATCGTGACTTTAGAATCAAAAATGTAATCGAATCGCGGATTTGGAGGATCGTGACACCCTTAATTATAATAAAAACAATAATAGTGATATACTATATTATATTAGGTGCAAAGTCAGAATTAAAAGAGCTTGTTTTCCTGCTTGTGTCATTTATTTTGGCTGCGGAATCCTTCTTTAACCGATAGATAATGAGAATGATGAATTGTCCAGTGGTAGAAAGAGTAATGGCTCACTTTTCATAAGATTTCCTGTTAACTCTCAGACCTCTGATTTTCACTTTTTTATTTCAGGAATAAGTTACATTTTACAATATGTTCAAATAGACAAATACATTTTCTGCTTTTACTGGAATAAAAGCTTTCTTGCTAAAAGTTTAAATAACATTAAAATCATCAGTGACCACAAACTTCTGAAAACAAGTGTATATTATAATACAAAACATAAATAGACTAAACCTAGAGCAGATAATTTATTTTCATGTAACTTTTTCCTCATGTAGTGTTTCTGGACATGCGCTGACCTTAAGCATGCAGAAGCTGGCTGTCTGTACATCTCCCGTTCGGTCTACGTAACTCTCCATGAGGTCGACTCCGTCTTTGGTCAGTCCTGTTAGCAGGATTCCCTCCAGGTTACCAGCCTCCTTCATCTCATTGGTCAGTTTGTCTATGTAACGAGGCAACTTCAGGGAAAGAAAAAAGTACAGTGCATTACATACTGCACAGTGATTTGATGAAAGTATGAGTGAACGGGTCTTACCTGAGCATCATTTAGAAACATGCACGCAAAGGCCACTCTGTCCCTGACCGCCACACGACTCTCATACTGCAAAACAGAAAACCACATCATATTACTTTTTCACCTGACGAAGGCAACATACTGACAAACTAATCAATCTTATTATGAAATTTATGCTAAATAATGTTAACATCATGCTAAAATCATGCTAGCAATGTGAAACATCATGGAAGAAACATCCTACCAACAAAACAACAGGATAGCAATGCAAAATCATGATTGGCATTATTAAAAAGCATGCTAAAATAAATTATTCTAACATTGTTATAAATCGTGCTAAAACATGCTAGCAACATTCTAGAATCTAAACCATTTTAACAACATGCAAGCAATGCTAAATTAAGATTAGCAAAAAATAAATAAAAATGCTAAAATACTACCAACATGGTAAACCGTACTAAATACCAAATGCACATGGTGCTAAGTCAAAGCAGAAACATATTGGCAACATGTTAAATCCTGCTATCAATGTTAATTCATGTTAACATGTTAAAACCATACTAGCAATGTGCAAAAGCATTTTGCTAAATCATGTTAAAACAAGCCAGAAACATGCCAAGCACTGCTTTGAACTTTCTAAATCATCTTAAAAACATGCTAAATCATGTTAGTAATGTGTTAAATTATAATAGAAAAATGCTACAAACATGCTAAAACCTTCAATCTAGTGTGTATCATTTAATTTTTCAGAAACATGCCAAGCACTGATATTAACTTGCAAGAAATATCTTAACAACATGCTAAAAGACATCCAAGCAATGGGCTACATTATGACAGAAAAATGCTACAAGCATGCTAAAACCTTCAATCTAGTGTGTATCATTTAATTAATTACAGAAACATGCCAAGCACTGCTAATAACATGAAAACTTCTCAAAAACATGCTAAAAGACATGTTAGCAATGTGCTAAATTATGATAGAAAAATGCTACAAACATGCTAAAACCTTCAACCTAGTGTATATCATTTAATTATTACTAAAAACATCCCAAGCACAACTATTAACTTTGCAAAATCATCTTAAAACATGCTAAAAACGTTAGCAATGTTCTAAATTATAATAGAAAAATGCTAGACATTTTAAACCTTCAACCTAGTGGATATCATTTCATTATTCCAGAAAAATACTAATCATTGCTATGAACTTGCAAAATCATCTTGAAAGCATGCTTAAAAAAAACATGTTAGCAACATGCTAAATTATGATAGAAAAATGTTATAACCATGCTAAAACCTTCAATCTAGTGTGTATTATTTAATTATTCCAGAAACATCCCAAGCACTGCTATTAACATGAAAAGTTATCTTACATACATGCTTAAAACATGTTAGCAATGTGATAAATTATGATAGAAAATGCTACAAACATGCAAAAACCTTCAAACTAGTGTGTATTATTTAATTATTCCAGTAACATGCCAAGCACTGCTATGAACTTGCAAAATCCTCTTAAAAACATGCTAAAAAACATGTTAGCAACGTGCTAAATTAGGATGAAAATGCTACAAATATGCTAAAACCTTCAACCTAGTGTGAATTATTTAAATATTTCAAAAAATCCCAACCACAACTATTAACATGCAAAGTTATCTTAAAACACATGCTTAAAACATGCTAGCAAAGAGATAAATTAGAACAGAAAATGCTAAAAACGTGCAAATTTCTTCAACCTAGCGTGAATAATTTTACCATGCTAAAAACAACAATTTAGCCATGTTAAATCCCGCTAGTGAACATATTAAACCGTGTTACCGGCATGCTAAATAATAGCAAGATATTAAATACTGAAACAAACATGTTAAATAAAGTTAATAATTAACTTAATAGTTAATTTTCTCCAACTTTACACATCCAGTTAAACACTTTTACCTCAATATTCAGTAGTTTATAACAACATGATAGCATATCTTAAATTGAACATTCAATTAAGCACAATATTTTAGTCTAGTGTTGTATTAACATACCAATACGCCATCATAGGCCCCAGGCTCACTGGTGAGGAAGGCAAACATGATGCACAGGTAGGGCTTCTTCAGCTGGAGTCTAAGAGAGCTGCACATCTCTCTCCACAGTGAGTTCTTCTCATCGGTGTAGCCAGACAGAGCCATAGCCACCACATTCAGATTCAGATCACCTGATGCCAGAAAAGAAAGAAAAAAAAAATACAAACAACAGTGAGGAAGATCAGACCATGTAATTAGGCCCGTAATATTTAATCATATTTTATTATTAGTAATATTTAATATAATTATAGTAATTTTGGCCATTTAATAATTAGAGAATGGAATCAGAATGTGAAAACATACAGTTGAAGTCAGAATTATTATCCCCCCAGAATTTTTGGCCCCTTGTTTATTTTTTTTCCCTCAACTTCTGTTTAACGGAGAGAAGACACATTTCTAAACATAATAGTTTTAATAACTCATTTCTAATAACTGATTTATTTAATCTTTGCAATGATGACAGTAAATAATATTTGACAAGATATTTTTCAAGACACTTCTATACAGCTTAAAGTGACATTTAAAGGCTTAACTAGGTTAATTAACTAGGCAGGTTAGAGTTATTAGGCAAGTTATTGTATAATGATGGTTTGTTCTGTAGACAGTCGAAAAAAAGAAATAGGTAATAATTTTGACCCTAAAATGGTTTTTAAAAAATTTAAAACTGCTTTTATTCTAGCTGAAATAAAACAAATAAGACTTTCTTAAGAAGAAAAAAAATATTATCAGACATACTGTGAGAAGTTCCTTGCTCTGTTAAACATGATTTGGAAAATATTTCAAAGAGGAAAAAAAATAAATAAATCAAAGGGGGGCTAATAATTCTGACTTCAACTGTATGTCCAACCACAAGTGTCAAAGCCAATTCCTTGAGGGCTGCAGCTCTGCAAATTTTAGTTTCAACCCTAATTGAACACAGCCGATCAAACTAATTAAGCCCTTCAGGCTTGTTAAAAAACCTACAGGTAAGTGTGTTGAAGCAGGGTTGGAACTAAACTGTGCAGAGCTGCGGCCCCCCAGGAACTGGGTTTGACACCTGTGTCCTAAACAAATAAATCATCATCATCATTTTTTTTTTTGTTTTTTTATTAAAAATGTAAATTTTACATTAAAAAGTTTAATGTAATTATTGTAATTATTGTACTTCTTTAGAGTAAATACTACAGTGTTTTTTTTTTTAAACATACTGATACTGACACCTCTATCAGAGATTGGATGAGATGACAGAGATGACAAACAGCTAAAATGTTACTAACAATGGTCATTATGTATGAGCGATGTGTATTGCATCACCAAAAATTACTGCAGTCCATCTGTTGTGCAATAAGTCAATATATTAATTATTGTGACATGTCAACGTGTAATGCTCAAACACATGGCAGACAACTCAAGAATATTAAATCATAAAGCTCATGACAGTACAATTAGTGAAAGAGTGGGATAAGCATAGTATTTCAAAGGTTAAAAAGGCATGAGTTGGAGAGTTACATCTCAGCATTTCATAAGATTTCTTGAACCACGTCTTTTGAACAGATGAGAGTAGAGACTGATAAACCCATAAAGAAATCATTCTTTATGTAAATGTTGCTAAAAGTGTACCTACAGCATAGGTTTCAAGCTCAATTCCTGGAGAGCCGCAGCTCTGCACAGTTTTGCTCCAACCCTAATCAGACACAGCTGTGTCTAGTAGTGCAGCTATTAAGTGGATCAGCTGTGTTTAATTACAGAACACAGAGCTGCGGCCCTTTAGGACTTGAGTTTGAGACCTATGACCAACAGGCAACTGAATAATAGGGTCTCCTAAGTTTTGATCGAACATAAGGAAATAGTCAAATATGAAAGCAGTCATTTATTTACCATTGTGCGATATTTAAAGAATTCCTGGTGAATGAATTTTGTAACTTGAATTTTGGTTGGAGAATTGACTGCAAAACATTGCTAGACATGCCAACCCCCCAATAAAAAAATAATAATAATCATTAAAGTTGTCCATCTGTCTATTCAGATAAGTCTAAGCAAATAAGTATAGAACATGTCACCATCTTTCTCAGAAAACATATTTCTAAAAGTGTCGTTGACTTGAAATATTCCCCGGACGTTGGTAACAACCAAAGAAATCCACGCATGAAAAGAAAACAAATCTGTTTAGTTTACGAATGAAGTTATGTGTAATAAAATGTAATGATTCAGGGGAAAAGTATTGAACACATGAAGAAAGGGAGGTGTAGAAAGGCAATGAAAGTCCAGACAGCAGCTGAAATCTCTCAGTAGTTCTTCAGCAATCATCTGCACTTCCTCTGTGTAAATGAACATTAGCTGCTCAAGTCCAACATCTACATTAGCAGGAGGATAAAGATGAAACCAGGGTGGACATTTCAGCAAGACAATGATCCAAAACACAGCCAAGGAAACTCTCAAATGCTCAAAAGCTGTAGAATGGCCCAGCCAACCACCTGACTTCAACCCAATTGAGAATACAAAATAAAGATCAGATTTGATAAACGAGACCCACAACTCTGTGAAAAACTCACACCTGAGCAATGCATGTGACTTCATTCTCCATATTAGAGGCGTCTTTAAGCTGCAATCTCCAAAATAAAAGTATTTTATATAGTATTAAATACATTTAAATATATTAAATACATTTTAGTAATTCAGTACATTCTAGTTGTGTTGTTTCATTGTTATTAAACATAAAAAGATCATTTTTTTAGATAAATTGATATAATTTGTGTTGCTTTTCAAAATTGTTAAACGTTTTTGTTGCCTTGGAAATGCAAAATGTACTCGCTAATTAGGAATCGCCCATACGCTTCTATTACTGCCTGCAGAACAGCATTAAACATTCTGCTCACTTTGTGTTCCTGGGAACAAAAAACATCATACGACGTTTAGGTGAACGCTAACAAAGCACAACGCAAAGACAAAAGCCTTGCGGCTGTAGGTGTGAAGAACTACACCCTTTATCACCCAGATCATATCTGTTTTCCAAACTGAGCCAAAACAAATCATGCTTAAAACCCAAACAACAGGCAATAGTACATAAGCAAACAGTCCCATATGCCATATGCATCAGCAGCTTCAGGCTATTTTATTAGTAAAGAACTGACAATGTGTAATACAAGCCATGTTTTTGTTATTTTATTAAGTACACGATAAACGCTTTTGATTGCAAACAAGCAGCTGTCGGTGTCCACCCTCAGTCTAGCCTGGGTTTAAAGGAAATCACACATTAACATTACAAAAACACACATGCAAATAAAAAGCAACTACAATGTGAAATTAAAATGATGAAAACTTGAAGATATAAAAAAAATCTATGCTTTTTTTATTCATGAAAGCTTTTAAATTTAATTACATTCTGTATCATAATATTATTAAAATTTTTAAAAATATATAAAAATGACAAAAAAACTAATATTTAAAAATGCTTTTAAATACAATTAACGACTATTACTGCAGTTATGTAATACTATTAATGCTTTTCTATCTACTAAACACTATTCTGCAGTATTACAGTAAAAAAAAAGATTTTTTGTGCATTACATTAATGACAACTGTGCAGAGCAATGTGCTAAAAATGGGAAAAATGTATTTGAGTTATGGTATGTTTTATATGTTTAATATATATATATATATATATATAGCTGATTCTAGCGTTATGGATGTGACATTTGCAGTAAAAATTCAAAACATAAATTCGCAGAGAAAGTATACGTTAACATTATATTGAATCATCTGTTTATATTTTCCAAAACAACTAACCACAGAGTTATGGAATCAAAAAATTTAAATCTGTGAACATTTTTATACTTTAAATTAGGAAAATAAACATGCGTTATGGATGTGACAAAAAAAAAGTCCCTGAGTTTACAGTATACAACATACTTTGTAGAAATTCTGTGAATTAAACTGCACAACCCAAAATAAATAATGCTCATCAAAAGTATAAGAGTTGGCTCGTTATAGAACAAAAATGATTGATTTTATTTTATTTTGACATTTTTGCATTTTTGAGGGAAAAGCTTTGTTATGGATGGGACACTTTTTCGTTAGGGATGTGACGGATGTGAAATTGCCATTTGTTTGACTTTGGTAAATCAAATATAATAGTTTGAAAACATTGACAGAGACATTTTTAAGTATTTTTAAAGTACTGTAAAACACTTGCCTACACAAAAAAGCGTAGAAACGGTTTCGCTAATTTAATGAAAACATTTTTCTTTTCATGACAAGGTTGACATTTTCATGGAATTGCTCATATATATATATATATATATATATATATATATATATATATATATATATATAAATAAAAAGATGCAATGATGATATATATAAATAAAAAGATGCAATGATGATTTGTATATGTGTATTAATCTTTCGAAGCGCTGCATTCAAATCTGTGTTTGATTGAGAGAGATTCAGTTTTTACACTTTTTTAGTTAGTTACAAACAAATAACTAATACAGAAGTACTGGAAGATCAGTTTATAGTTCAGTTATACACACTGATGTTTATGGTAAAGATTAAAATCACTGTTGTAACTGGACGCTGGTGAATGTTGTAGCAATTACATTGTGTAACCAATGGGTGGCGGCAAACAGCCATCAAATTTATGTCACTAAACAGATTTCAAAAATGATCCACCTAAAATGTTTTAAGTGTGAATTGTTGAATTATGAGTTTAAAATAAATTTGATATGTTGTACAAGATGTTAGATTGCTATATTTAGTATTATCAGCAACAGTAGCAAAGATGTACGTTCCTGTAAGAAAACATTGCAAATAATTGGAAATCCGGCGACAGCAATCATCAAACACTTGGGAACAACTGTGGCCGAAACCAAAGTTTACAGTGACTGTGATTTCTCTGGACTCTTCTCAATCGGTGGACTTCTACATTCTGATTGATTCCCGCTGAACCAAGTCATAGCTCATTACCATAAAGATTACTTGATTTCAATTCTCCTCGGCGCACCGTGGTGCTCCTCGCCGCATATCGCCACCGGCTCCTCTTGAAAATGAATGACTTCCAGCTACTTTGACGCTCTCACGCCTTTTGGTGTGAACGTACAGCAAGACTGACATGCCTTGTGTATTCTATAGTCTTTGTTAAAGCCGACCAGTCAAATTGTCGGTGCAACCGCTAATATTTACATGCTTTATTTTGCTTCTCTTTACCATATGGGCATTATTTGTTGGTTTGTTTTAATTGTAATTAATAGTTTAAATTCTTTTAAAAAATGCTATTAAGAATAGACAAAAAGAGAAATTTTCTCTTAAAATTCCTCCTTTTTCTGTTGATTGATTCTGTTGTTGATGTGACAGTGACAGTCCTGTTACCTTTCTCTGAGGAAGCTCCTTTATTCAGGATCTGAATGGCCCGCCGGATGTCCAGGTTAAAGAGGGCGACGGCAGCAGCTCGTTCCCACTCGCCCTCCTGCTCCAGAGACTTCAGGAAGGGTTCAACATCGGTGTCGGGCCCTTGACTGATCCAGCCACACAACTGGAGGGCCAGACTGCGCTCCTCACTGTGGAACCGTGGGACGTCCGTCTGCCTGTCTGAACCTGACCAGCACCGCCGTGTCTCTGTAGTGCCTGAGGAACCAATCGTTATTTCTTTATTCATTCATTACGATCAACATCAAGATCTCAGAATATATCACAATAGGTAGTGAGTGAACAAAAAGTTTTACACCTTTTTCTTTCACCCCAAGATGCTTTTCTGTGAATATGAAAGTCAATTTTCGTAATCTACAGTACTGTACAAAATAGGGCTGCACACATTGGAAAAAAACTGATATTGCGATATTTATTTTCTGCGATAAATATTGCAATATGAATACAGTTTCACAAGACGGTTGTAGCTTTTAATTACAATGCAAAAAAAATGCTTTTCTTATTTTTCTTTGTCTCGTTTCTAGTCCAAAAATTCTTAGATCAAGTAAAAATATTGTTTTGTTTTAAAAGTCATATGAAATAAGGCAAAATTAAGAGGTTTTCCTTAAAATAAGCTAAATTATCTGCCATGGGGTATGTAAAATAATCTTGTTTTCACTTTGAAATGTAGATAATTAATTTAGAAAAAGTCAAAAATTATAAGTAAGAAAAAAAAATTATTTTCCCAAATCATATAATTGTCATATAAATACAGTAATTAAAAACAATTGTGTAGCTCCTGTTTAATTATAATTTAGACTCAACATATATCTTTGCGATGTGACTATTGCGGATGCGCACATTGCGATATCGATGCTGAAACAATATATTGTGCAGCCCAAATGCAAAAGTCTTAGGCTACTAGTATTTTCACAAGAAAAGGTTTTATTTCAGGTATTTCTATTTTTCTGTAGTCAGTTGCTATTTTTTTCATGTCAGTTTGAAATATCAATTAACATTTCCAAACTTTATTCTTGTCATAATTTGTAATTCTACAGTGAGAGTATTGTCTGATCATCATCAAGGGGTGCTTTTCCCAAACAACGATGTAACTTGCGGCTGAACTATCATAGTGCAATACATTGTTTGTATTGAAAACCCGCAGTTTCTCTGTCGCAGATCCATCATTGGAACCACGTTAGTTTTATCGTAAAATAGCCATAATGATGTTTTAAACGGCGTGGAGTAACTACTTCTTTAGAAAAAAAAAACAATTTTGTTTTAGTGTAGTTTTACATGCACATACATTTAAAATAAAATCCAATATTAGTTTTGGTAAACATGCACTCTCTTTCCATATTAATTGAAATATATGTAAACGACAGATCTAGGGCCTGTGTTTCCTTTACAAATATTATTGAGAACATTCCATATTCTATTCTAAAACATAAAATCACTTTAAAAAGATAACACATATTCTAATATCATATATAAATCATATAAATAAATATTGAGGCTATTTATTAAGAAATGAAATTTAATATTTATTATTTATTAGGAAATGAAAAAATCCTACTTTAATAATGTTAATAATATTAATGATGATGAGGATTATTATTATTATTATTATTATTATTATTATTAAGTAGGGTATTGTTTATTTTTTTTTAAGTCTACTTTTACTATTTGGCACAAGCAAGCCACTGCAGAAATGTTCTAATCAACAGGCCAACTGTTTCTAACTACAGCTCCAGAGGTGTAGTTGCAAGTGCACAAGTTTGTGACACAGTTTGCCTATGTTTTTTGAAAAGATGGATTTGGGAAATGGCAAATCAACAAACTGTTTTGTAACAACGGAACTTGCAACCTTAGCTGGCTAACAACGGTTTTGGGAAACACTCCCCAGTCTGTCTGGAATGACATGAACAAATTGAGAAAAACTCAATCCAGATCAACTTTGGCAGCCTCTCTAAGAAGTTTCAAAAAAATCTACCTGCAAAGATACCTAAAAACAAACTATATGCCAGTGTCCCAAGTGTTTTAAATGCATAATAATAATAATAATAATAATAATAATAATATGGTTTTTAAGTATGGTCACATAGTGTGGTCATCCCAAATGTGTATTTGATGTAGTTAATATAAGTTAATGTATTTATGGATTATTTTTGAAAGCATCCTCATTTTTACACAAGTGCCTAAAACTTAGTAGCTTTGCAGGTGTTTTTTTTTTTTTGAAGCATCTTAAAGATGTTGCCAACGTTCTTCTGGAATTAGTTTGTCACTTGTCATTCCAGAAAGACTGTATGATATGTACAGCACTGGCTGTTGTCAGAGTCCTTGCGCAGACAATAATCTCACTTTATAATTACAATTAATGATAAAAAATAATGTTTGGAAATGTCAATTGATATTTAAAACTGACATGCTACAAAACAATATAGAAATAACCAACACTTTACCACTTTAGAAAATACTGGTAGCCTAAGATTTTTGCACAGTACTGAATATTCTATACACAATCAGTGAAGTGTTTTTTTTTTATATATATACACACAATGAGGGGTTTCTATTCTCTCTTCATTGTTCAATTAGTGGATGTTAAAGGAAATTAGAAGTAACAAATTAGTTTCAGTACAAATGAGCTTTGATTGTTCTGTTGAAAACTAAAGACGATGTTTTGAATAATGCGAGAAACCTGTACCAATTGACTTCCATTGTAGGAAAAACTAATGCTATGGAAGTCAGTGGTTTCCAACATTCTTCAAAATGTCTTCTTTTGAGTTTAACAGAAGAAAAAAACTCAGTTTGAAACAAATACAAAGTGAGTAAATGATGGGAGAATTTCTATTTTTGGGTGAACTATCCCTTTAAGAGTGGATGAGAAAAGGTGGCAAGGCCTCTGATAACAGGCCGAATGAGGCATTTATAATGTCTGCGAGAAATACTTCAGACGCACTCAACACACTCACCAGAGCTGGACTTGACAATGTTTTTGATGCCGGAGTAGATGAGGGACTGTTTATTGCTCTGTTGCTTCTGTTCCACATTCTCAGTGTACTGTTTCATGAGTAAAAACTTACATAGGAAAAATAACACAGTCGAATAAAACAAGATCATATGGAGGAAAATGTGATAAAATTAAACCAAACATTTGAAGGATTTATAAAATCATAGCTATGAACATAAAAGAAACGCATTGATTTCTTTTTTTTTTCCACTGATCGCTTATTTTTGAGACTGTATGCTTGCTGTTTATTTTACAACAAATAGCCCATAGATGGCCTTTGGAGTCATCTGAATTGTACATTGAGAATTTTTGACTATAAACTTATCAGTAGTTTTTTATTTATTAGTAAATAAAATGAGAATAATAAAAATATTTAGAATCTCATATCCCCCCTGTAAAAATATACGACCACAAACTGTCAAAAACAAATAAAAAAATTTATCTGACTTTGAAAGTTTAGTTTTTTTTTGTACAAAAAAGTTTGCAAAATAGTGCATAATTAAATAACGTCTTATTTGCTTATTTAAATATTTTACAAACTGTATAATATAAAATGCTAGTAATCTATTTTAAATATATAGATTCTAATATTATTATAATTATTTTTCTCAAATATTTTCCAAGTGATTAACAGAGCAAGGAGTTTTCAGTATTTAGCATTATATTTTTCTTCTGGTGAAACTCTTATTTTTGGGGAAAATAATAAACACTATTCCAAATTTAAACACAGCAAATATTTATAGCCCCATAGAAAATTTGTTCATTTTTCGATTCACTTCAGAACAAACAATTGTTGTTCAGTGACTTGCCTAGTTAACCTAAGTAACATAGTTAAGCCTTTAAACAACTGTATACTAGTATCTATAAAAAAAAAAACTAGTAAAATATTATGTAGCTTTATGTGACAAGACAAAATAAATGAGCTATTAGGGGTTCCCACTCTTTCATAAACAGCAGATTTAAGGACTTTCAAGGACTTTTTAAAGCACCATTAATTTCAAATCAAGCACCTTTGTAATTCACTCTGCCAGCATATGCACCACTATGAAAGCCCTTAGTGTACTTAACAATTTACTAACACTTAATTGCATTGTTGCAAAATCTCAGTGATGATGATGATGATGATGATGATGTTTTAAATGTGTAATTTTCACAAACAATTTTTCAAAGAACTTTAATAAACTGTATATTTGCAATTTACAAGATTTTAAATATTCAAATGTGATTTTTTAAAATATTGATACAATTTGCATTATTTGTCAGTTTATACAGGATTTAAATTTTTTTATTAAGAATTTCTTATTGTTTCTTCTGTTTTTTTTTCAGTCAGTACAATTGTTGAAATGACACAATAATCTTTGTTTTTATTTTTAATTTAGATTTTAAACACTTTGAAGAACCTGCGTTTAATTCAAGGCCTTGAAAGTACCTAAAAACAATCCATATGCCTGAAATTCAAGTACTTTCAAGATGTGTGGGAACTCTGGTTATTAAAAAAATAGATATTAAAACTATTATCATAAAAATGCGTAGAAAAAAAAACATTTGAAACAGAATTCAAATAAATCAAATGGAGGAAATCTTTTCTTTAAACAACTTGTGCAAAGAATTAGTTTTTTTTCAAAAATGAAATTGTTAAAATGCCACCATAAATTAATTTATTTTCAAATTTTGATTTCAAGCACTTTCAAGAACCTGTGTTTGTTTTTAGGTACTTGCCAGGCCTTGAATCAATCCATATGTCTGAAATTTAAGTACTTTTTAGAAGCGTGGGAACCCTGGTTATCAGATATTAGATTTTAAAACTATTATGTTAAAAAAAAATATTATATTACAATTTTACATAAACATTTAAAAAAGAATTCAAATAAAAAATAGAGGGAATCTGGTGTTTAAACGACATGTGCAAAGATTTAGTTTTTGACTAGGGCCAGACAGAATCTGCTGACATTTTTTGCTATTTCTGCTAAGAATTTTGTAAAAAATTTACTTAAATCTTAATCTATGAAATAAAAAATAAAACAGCTTTAACTTTTATTTAATGTTTACAATGCAAATCCAATTTGATCTACTTATTTGGTAAACAAAGCAAGTTTCTCATATAATATATATATATATATATATACACACACACACACACATATACTAAAAGACAGAAAATATTACTTTACAAAGGGTATTTTAAATAAATCTTATGAGCATTTTAATTTTACTTTTATTATATCAAAATAATATTAGTGAAATTCATTTAAAAACTGAATAAATATAAATTTAAACACATTTGCACAAGTAAATAAAGACACTCAATAATGGGCTAAAAATCTGAAGAAATCTCTGGATTTCTGCATGCGCAGATTCCGTGTGAGCCTAGTCATGACCTTTTTGTCAATATGCTTTAAAAAGTCAAAGCAGTGAAGGATATAATGGAGTGTGTACCAGAGAGACCTCAGCTGTGGGTCGTCTCCTCCAGCCAGCACATGGTTCCTCCACACCTGGACAGTATCGTGGCCATATCGAGACTGTGCTCGCTCCCTCATCTTAGTGGCGATGTCCTTCTCAGCCTCTGCGGCCTGTCCGCTGTCCTCCGCACACTCGTACAGGTGCCGTCCGCAAGCCCACATCAGAGATGTGGTGGAGCTCCAGGCCAGAGAGATGCGCTCGAACAATGTGAAGTCATTCATCACGCGGCTGGGGGACACCACCACCATGCGGTTCTGTGCTGACGGGTGCCAGGCGAAGCTGCTGATGATGCTCTCGCTGCAGGGCTGCACCCCACGCTCCATGATGGTGGGCTCTACTTCATCCCCGAAAGGCATCGGAGTGTGCTGCATGTCATACAGCCGGATGATATTGCTGTCCCGTGTTAGCGTCGCTAGTAAACCCATCCGAGTAGGACACCATGCAACTTTAGTCAAAGGTTTAGGCTGTTCGTTTAAAGTAAAAACTGGTTTTTCGAATTTGCGCAAATCCCAAATAGCAACCTGACCTTCAAAATAAGACGCCACACGATCCTGAAAATGAGGGTCTACAGTTACGCCCTGAATTGCTTTAGTATTCACAAACGTCTTCTGGCTGGTGTTACGCAGATCGAAGATGGCAAGATTTCGATGCATGCCGGCAAGAAGCAACTTTTGGTGGTCACGAGGGAGCCAGCAGAGAGAAAGGCAAGCATCGTTTTGACCCAGCTCATACAGAGGTTTGGTCACCAGCAAACCAGAGTCTGCGTCTCCAGAAAGACGAACCTTCTCAGCGGGAACGGCTTCCGGAGAAAACTTACTGCTGATGTCCCATATGAGAACGGAAAAATCAGCCCGATGTTTGTCCAAACCAGCCGCCAGCCAGTTACTGTCCACAGGGTTCCACGCGAGAGTGTTGCACTGCCGAGCGTGTTTAGGAACAAACTCTTTACCCGCGAGGTCCTTACTTTTGGAGTTGTGGCTCTGTCCCAAACTGGTTAACACGACTCGGCCATTGGTATGTCCCACAGCTAACAAACACTCTGGCTCATGTTTGGGATACCAGGCCACGCATTTCATAAAGGGGGTGTCGGAGTTGATGGCCAGCAGCGTCGCTGCCGTCTCCTCGGATAACTGAAGAGCTCCAGCTTTGGTTTCGGAGCTTCCAGAAGGTCCGATCCGGTACAGACTGAGCTCAGTGTCGCAGATCACATAGCGGTCTGCGTGATGAGGAGACCACAGGATATCTGGCTTATAGCCGCTCGACATGGCAGGACAGTGGCTTGTTCAGTGCTGACAGCTGTGGATGATAGAGATACTTAGTATCAATATAAACAATAATTGAGTCCTTTAAATGACTTATTTTACTACATAACATTCTCCACTGGACAGCAATGTAACATTTACACAATCATCATCATCATCATCAGTGTTGTTGTATAATTTAAAAAAGTTAATTATTTGGTAGCACTTTATTTCATTCATTCATTAATAGGGATGTAACAATATTGTAAATACCGTCATACCGCAATAGTAATTTTTTTCAATATTACCGTAGGCGCATGACTCAATAAAACTATATTTCTGAGAAAAGTTTGCTTAGGCGAATGAAGCGAACAGGAGGTAGCGGGAACTACAATTCCCATCAGCCTAGGCGTGGCCATCATCCTTTGTGGTCTGTTGTTACTACAGATCCAGTAATGTAGAAATAGAGTGTGTTGCTAGTAGCGGGGAAGAAAAAGAGCTGGAAATGATCGAACCTAAAGCGGGTTTTAAATCGGATGTGTGGAAGCATTTCGGTTTCTTTCTAAAAACATACGAAAAAGGAGAAAAGGTGACAGACAAAGAAAAAAACAGTATGCAGGCACTGCCAGACTGTGGTGAAATATAAGTCGGGGAATTCGACTAAAAGCAGTCATGGGGACTGCAGAACACAGCACACTTGTTAGATTGATGCAGACATTGACTTGTACCGCAAAGAGACCTCTATCTCACTCATGGCTTGTCCTCTCAAGTGGTGGAAAGACAATGCACAGAGTTACCCACTGCTGTCAAACTTGGCTAAATCATATATCTCTGTCCCAGAAACCTCAGTCCCAAATGAGAGGGTTTTTTTCTGTTGCAGCTGGGGACAGGCCCAGAGATCCCAGCTTTTACCAGATTATAGTTATATGATAATTTTCCTTAAACCCATCTCTATCTAAGTTAGTGAGTGATTAAATGTTGAATGTGATGAGTTTTCAACAATACTAAATTGAAACTTATTTTTTTTTATATGGTTTAATAGTTTTTTTGTAATTAAAATTTAAAAATTGAAGTTCCTGTTTTGAAACTTACAGATAGATGGCTAATTTGCATGTCATTAATATGTTCAATGCTAAAGTAAATAAACACTTTTGGCACTTTTTTTGAGTCTTTTCATTAGTTTTGTTTTTCCTGTAAATTATTCAATAAATACCGTACCGTGCCATTCATACCGAGGTATTATCGTACCGTGAAATTCTGATACCGTTACATCCCTATTCATTAATTTTCTTGTCGGCTTAGTCCCTTTATTAATCCAGGGTCGCCACAGCGGTACAAACCACCAACTTATCCAGCACGTTTTTACGCAGCGGATGCCCTTCTAGCTGCAACCCATCTCTGGGAAAAACACTTTATTTTGATGGTCCATCTGACTATTAGTAGACTGTCTGCTTAATATATGTTGATACTGCTCCTTCAACAGACATTTAACTGACTATATGAAACTTTGCAACTACACTAACCCTACACTCTAAAAACTGCTGGGTTAAAAACAACCCAATTTGGGTTGTTTTGGTAACCCATCGCTGGGTGAAAAAGGGACAAACCCAACGCTAGGTTACTTTAACCCAACAAGTTGGCTTACACGTTTAACCCAGCATGCTGGGTTTTGATTTTTAACCCAACTATTAGTTAAAAAATACTACACTGCTGGGTTGAATGCAACCCAAAACGGGTCAGAAATTAAATCTAGAAACTGGTGATTAAAATCACAAAAATAAAAACAATTCTACAGCAATACATACTTCAGTAATGGAATTTTATTTATGACAAAAGATACAAAAAAAGTGTTCAAATGAATTTAAGAGATTTTTCCCATCTGCACCTCAGCATTAACCCTTTGACTGCCTGCTCTACCAAATGGCTGAGCATGTTTTTGCTGTTTTAAACAATGACTGTTAAAGTCATTAAAAAATAAAGATGATTTAGCGGTCAAAATATTTGACTTAGAACATGTTTTTAAATAAATTGGTCTTACAGTTCACATTTTCAGATTTTTCATAGTAGATGTATTAATTCTGGTACATTTACCATAAACACATATCAACCATCTGGTAGAGGTTGATATTTTAGAAATTATGCGATGTGTTAAAAAAAATGGGAGTTATCTAGCGAGTTGAGAAATGCAATTCAATTTTTTTTTCTTGGTAGGGTAGTTAAAGGTTTAAGACAATTTCTATTAAAATGTATCAAACTGTATCACAGAAACACTGACTAAAGTCAGTAACAATGCATCACACTGAAGTCAGACAAATCACCTTAAAATTGCATATTTGAAATAAGAAAACTTTTCATAACATTTACATCATGCATAAATCAGAAATCATCAGTAAGAATCAATTGCAATGTTATTGCAGAGTAAAGAAAAAATTGTGGAAGTAATAATGAAAATGCATCTTAATTGACTGAAGTCAGAAAATTCAATTCAAAATACAAATTTGTGCACAAACACCAACCCTTACCCCAACCTAATCTGATAAGAATTAGTTGGCATGTAGATGCAATGTAACTTAATTCAACAAAGGGACCATCAATATAAGAAACAAAACTATACAAGATAATTGTTACATAAATATTTAAATTTAGATCATTTGTATCATAGACATTTCAGATCTAAATATAACAAAACAAACCTTTATTTTTAATATGGTTATTCGTTCGTTCGTTTTATTCTCGCCTTAGTCCCTTTATTAATCAGGGGTCACCACAGTGGAAGGAACCGCCAACTCATCCAGCACATGTTTTACGCAGCGGATGCCCTTCCAGCCGCAACCCAACCCCCATCCACTCTTGCACACACTCACATACACTATGGCCAATTTAGCTTAGTCAATTCACTTATTGACCTTATTCTAAAATGCGGAAGTGCGCCTGTTTCCGCGATTAGAATCAGAATAAACGGCAGAAAACGGTCAAACTACTTGCTCAACAAACAAATGTTTGCATAAATATACAGACCAAGTAGAATAATATAATAAGAAAATATCAAATTGCAACATCAAGCAGCGTAACGAGCAGTTTTTAACGTCAGAAAATGAATGCAAGTGAATGAGACCGGAAGTCTCAAGCCAAAAAGATTCAAATGGCAGCGCCCACTCGTCGGCGGAGAGTAAGGTGAATAGCGCATGTCTTTGGACTGTGGGGGAAACCGGAGCACATGGAGGAAACCCACGCCTGGATACAATTAATCGCCCTTACTCATAAATTCTCACAGCTATAATAAAGAAATGAAGAGACCAACTGTATATTGTCACTTTCTCTGGATTCAATATTTATAGTTGTGCTAGAGTAAAATATAATTTTAGCTTTATTTTGTAAACTGTCTGATGTAATTTCTTAATTAAAAATAAAAATGTTGTCACTCCGAGCATTTTAATGTGAATGAAATAGCAAAACACTGTTTTTACTCATTTTTTAGATCAAATAATACCAATGTTTTGACTCCAGAAGGGTTAAGAAATCAATGTTTGGTGGAATAACCCTGACTTGTAATTATAATAAATAAATATATTTGTTATTTAGACCAAATGTCATTTTCTGTAATAAATGCTCTAAATTACTCTAAAATGGTGACACAGTGGCACAGTAGGTAGTACTGACGCCTCACAGCAAGAAGGTCGCTGGTTTGAGCCTCAGCTAGGTCAGTGGGCGTTTCTGTGAGGAGTTTGCATGTTCTCCTTTCGTTCGCAAGGGTTTCCTCCGGGTGCTCCGGTTTCCCCCAATGTCCAAAGACATGTGGTACAGGTAAATTGGGTAGGCTAAATTGTTTGTAGTGAATGAGTGTGTGGATTTTTCCCAGCGATGGGTTGCAGCTGGAAGGTAAAAACGTGCTGTATAAGTTGGCGTTTCATTCCGCTGTGGGGGCCCTGTATTAATAAATCAAATAGAAAATGAATGAATGAAATTACTCTAAAATTCTTTTAAAAAATGTATTTGAGATTTGTAATAAATATTCAAAACAACATATTCAAAAGAACAAAACAAACATTACCATTTTACTTACACCCATAACTAATAAATCCAGTACACTCCAAGAAACAGACTTGCCATATGGTCTCTTCATTTATTCCGTAATAAATGTAACATATTATAAATTATATTTATTATTAGGTGAACCTGGGAAAATAATAACAGTAATAACTAAAAATAATGTTGATAAATCGCAGCAGGCTTAATAACGTTAGTTATAACCGTGTAAACAATATTCCTTTAATATTTCAGGAAAGGGTTAAAATAAACACGAGTAAAGTTGCACACGAAATTAAAAGTAATGAAGGCAAATGCAATCAAGACATTGTAAATATACTTTTTAAGAACCAAGAGAAATGTAAAAACGCTAAGAGCAAATAGAAGTGTTAACTGTGTAGAAAGAGACCACATTTGAAATAACATCAATAAAATTCTGCCTATATCTAATAAATTCCAGCACTTCGTATAATGAAGTAAATATGATATAAATAAAGATAGAAATGTAAAATAATTATTTAATGAAAAAATAAAAGTTAACTTGTTAATTAACGTGTAAGTTATATTTTAAGTTTAATAGCAGTTAACGCTAGTTAGCCGGTCAGCTAAAAGCTAAGCTAACCATATAAACCTTTTCTTACGCAGAAACACATAACAAAAGACTATTGTCAATATATAATTACACAAAATAAACCCTGAATTGACATATGAGTAAATGACAGTCTGGTTTATATGCGTTTGAAAAATATAAACTCACATTTGACGTGCAAACATGCTGAAGTTTGTTTGGTTTGTGTGAAGTCGGAAGCATCGCAGAATGTAAACAGCGTGACAGAAGAACACAGAATAAAAGTCCCACTGCGTCGACCTCTACCTTCAGCGCAGAGAGATTTTCAGCATTAGTTTTTACGTTCTCTCTTAACCTCCAAGTAATACGGATAAATATACAAGAAAACACACGAATTTACTAAAGGAAAACTTACTTAAAATTAGATTTGTAAAGAAGTTGAGAAATACGCAAAATACATACTGTATTACCGAAAGTTTAACACGCCATAATTCGGAAACTAGATGTTAAATATCCACATAAAAAAACTAAACAATGCTATTTTTATTTAAAAACTACAAAAATACTAATAATTAACAGTAAATACTGTAGTGTTTTTAAATAATAGAAGGGTTCAACGTTAAGGATATTTTCTATTAACGTTAGGTCGATGGGCTCTATGCACGGCGGCGCGTGACGCATTTCCGGTAAAATTTAAGACCCCGAGCCTACTTCCGCCGATCGTACAGTACAGTGCTACAACAGGAGCGCTACTGATAAAAACGAGTAATGTTTTGGACAGTTGTCTTAATGTTTTATGCCATTATAGCCCACTTATATATGTTTATGTCAGCTACATAAATATGACATCTAAACGTTTAAAAGTGTCATTTCAAAGACGTGAGAACAGTACTTGTAGATACCACTGCTGTGTTCAGCAATGCACAGCGTCAAAAATTGAACTCTTACCTTAGTTTCCACACGTTTCCAAAAGACAAAGTCGTGCAGAAGAGGTGGGTTGTTGATATTAAACGTGAGAATTTTACAGAAACAGAAAAAAACAAGAGTGTAGCTGACAATTTCAGTCTAGAAAACTGATCGAGGCTCGAGTGCCAACCGGATGCAGACATTTAAAGAAAGGAGCTTTTATGGCAAATAATAGTTTACTTTCATTGCCTTTGAAGTAAAAAAAAAATGAACATTAATATACATAAACATTTCTTAAGCTACTTTCGAAGTGCATTTTTTAAATTCAGAATAAAGACCTTTATTTTATTCACTGTACATATAAAATATAATTCACTGTATGTAATTTGAAATAAAAATTGTCAAAAAAAAGTAACATTTTGAAAAAAATATTTTATTCAGATGAACAGAAAAAATGACATTGAATCAGTTGTTTTCTTGAATCAGGTGCTTCTTCTGTAACTTGTGCATAGAGAGGTATTTGGGGTTATACGTATTAAATAAATAAATAAACGCCCATCTGTTTCATGGAACTTAACACATAATTGATCCATTCCAAACAATTGTTCATGTGACAACACACATTACACATTTCAGAGTAATGGGCTGTCTGGAAAAGCAAAGCAACCAAATGTTTGCATATCCCACTCTCAGCCACACAAGAGCAGGAGCTATTAACTAGCAGACGATGGCATGGATCTTCTGACGGATGTCCACTCCAGGATGGAGAAGTAACACATAAAATTTTCTAGCTCTGAATCTCATAATGTTACCTAGAAAACAGAAACAAGAATATTAATAGGTTTTTAAAGAGAGTCATTAAAGGCAGTTCACTCAAAACTGAAAATTCTATTTCCTCATCCTTCACTTGTTCCAAACCTGTTTGAGTTTCTTTCTGATGTTTAACACAAACAAAAATACTTTGAAGAAAGCTGGAAACTTGCAACCACTGATATTCATAGTAGTTCTTTTTCATACTATGGAAGTCAATGGTTACAGGTTTTCAGCTTTCTTCAAAATATCTTCTTTTTAAAGGCATCTGCAGCAATATCATCAGATTAAACTACACAGTAAATCATTAATTTAAATTATTTAAAAGTAGCTCCCTTTAGTCACACTTTAAAATAAGGTTTCATTAATTAATGTATTTGCTCACTATTTAAATAACTATTTTATATTTAACATTGTTAAACTAATTTACTAATGAATAAAAATCCAAAGTCATGCTTGTTAACATTAGCTATTACATCGTGAGTTAACAAGCACAATGAATAAGCATTTGTTCATTAATGTAAAAAACTAATAAATATTGAAGTAGACAAATTGTTGATGTGAAATTAACTAATGACACCTTATTGTTTTGGGTCACCCTCCCATTTAATTACAATGTTATCGACTAAACAGAAAGCATGCTATCTACACTGTTACACTGCATCTGTCATCTCCACTGTTTCAGCAATAAATCTCAGCAGTGACAGTGCTATTTGTCTGTTGTGGATGGAACGGCATTGTATTATTTTATTCCTAATATATCTTGCTCAATAATCATGCTTACAAGCTAAGACAGCATCTGTGTTTCTGTAATTATCCGAACTGAACAGTGGTGGTCACTTTAGAACAGTAAAAATATGAATGGGACAGAACTTCACATGGATGCTGTCCTACTCTCAGCTGGTGAGGAGACTCCGATTTCTTCATAGATCTATCGGTAGTAATAAGCTCTCACTGAGATCTTATTCCTGCCCTGTTTTTACCTGACACTTTGAGACAGAATTACGTACACATATGATTATTTTTACTTACGTGATAAAGCTGCAGATGGACGGATCGTAAGAGTATTAACGCTAAAGTTAGCCTTCAGGCTAGCTGAACTTACCTTCATAATTGCACAGGTAGGAAGATGCATACAACTTGAAACCCTTCTCAAGCTTTGCTCTGCGGTGTTGTAGAGCACATCCGGACAATCATTTGCACATCGTTGACCATAATTTACTCGCAAACAGCGAGTAAATATTGACGACTCTGTCATAATACTGTTCACCTCCGCTTTAAATCACCCAGACCGGAAGCTGGACCGCGGCCTTAGACAAAACGCGGAAGTAATGCGTGCATATAGCCCATTGGACCAGTGGTTCAGAGTTGCTTTGCCAAAATTTTCACTGGCCCCACTAAAAAAAAATAAATACAAATAGCTAATTCTTAGCCACATATTTTAAATAATGTGTCAAACATATTACCTGTGAATCTAGAATTTAAATATTTAAAAAATAAAATATTTAGCAGTAGAATAAAGCAGTATGCTCTTACGATGATGAAACTTCTGCTCAGACAATGATCTGAGGACAGCAGCGATGTTTACGAGCGAGCTAAATGCTGCATTGTGTAACTCAATGGTAGAGACGCCACTGTTACTTCATATGTGCTTAAATATCTCTCTGAAATCACGCAAAGACTTTCAAAGTGCGTAAAAGAGTAGTAAGAGTTGAGCATGATACGATGTGAATACTAGTTAGCGCCCATAGCTATATACATTAGATGTCGCCTACCCTGATGTTGTCTATTGGAAGGAATGCGTCAATAGAGCCGTCATTTTAGTACAGGGTAACGCTCCTTTGAAATGAACGCCATCTAGCGGTCACATAATCTAATGACTAAATGTTATGACAACTTGATCAACTTCTTTTATATATATATATATATATATATATATATATATATATATGTATACTTGACATTACTTTTTTTTCTCACCACCTCACTGGTCTTTTTCACAAGACAAAATTTTATTGTTGGAAACTGTATTTTCTATACTTAATTTTGACTTTTGCATGCTAAAAGTACTTGAGTAGGAGACGTTTTACTTGATTTGGGTCATTAAAAACACTCCCTATGATGTATGTACCTATACCTGCTGTAGTCAACGTAAATCCTACTGGAGGTTGACATAAAACCAAAACAACACCCTATCTTGTCTTAGGACATTTTATTTGGCAAATTTTGAAATAACAGTAAGTTTGACAAAATATGTAGTATAATTTGCTGTTTTTTAACATACAGAATAATAATAATAGATATAGTTATGAAACAACCATAACATAACACCAAACGTTGACTAATGAAGGTACATTTATAACAACTATTTATTTGTTAGACTACTGTATTGTCAAACCATGTTGCATACAAACGCATTCAACAGACTTATATGACAGTGCATTGCTGTAGAGGACGAATAAAACACGAGACAGGTGTTTAGAAAGAGTATAGTTTATTTAGTTTGACATGCAAACTTATCTAAACAAGACACACTGTCAGAAAACAGCCCGGAAACATTATAATGCGCGCGCTCATGAATATAACCCGCGGTTGTCTTCAACTGTTGTCTTCAATAGTCCTTCTTTGCTCAACAGCTCAGCTGAAAAACAAAGCAAAACATTAAAACAGTCAGACATAGAGCAAAGAGCATAGAATTACCAAGAGGCGACACTCTACAATTTGGGGAACAATAACGCACTTTTTTTTATTTAGAAATATTAAAAGAATTTATAATATGTGTAATTATACTATATAAATGTATATTCATAGAATTTATATTTATAAAAATAAACTGAAAAAACATTAAAATTTCAAACAATTAAAAATAATAATTTAATTTAATATTTAAACATGCATTTACATTTATACACACATATATACAATTAAACTAATAACGGTCTGCATTATGAACGAGTCAGTGATTCAGCAGGTAAAGAACTTTCAGAATGAATAAAACATGTGCCTTTTAAAACTTCCCTTTGCTGCCAAAAGGTGGTAGCAGATGGCAAATAATAATTTATAAATAAATGTATTTATTTATAAATATAATTTATAAATAAATGCATTGCACAAATATATTTTATTTCATCTCATAGCTTATATATTAATTTAAGTATACGTCTTAAACATTTCTCACTTTTCTACGACAAATCTGACGAGAAACACCTGAGGGAAAAACCTGAGGCACGACTCGAAGCTCTACAAGATAATATTCATCAAATGAAATGCAACCGGAAAGCAGTTTTTGTGGACTCTCTCTGTCACTCATTAGTATCCTGTTCCCTCCTGTCATGCCAAAATGAATGAAAGCCCGTCTGGCAGCGTCCACTTCAGCCATAACTCACCTTATATCTGTTATCAAGCATCTAAAAATACAGCTCCTGAGATGAAGAGCATCTGACAGTCAGGGCTAATGATGAAACTTCTGCTCAGACAATGATCTGAGGACAGCAGCGATGTTTACGAGCGAGCTAAATGCTGCATTGTGTAACTCAATGGTAGCAGGGCTGCCAACTTTTGGTTTTAGCCTGGAGTGAGAATTTTTGCCTCGCCCTTTCAACTCAAGCCACGCCCCCCACAAAGCCACACCCCTTTTTATTTATACACACACACACACATAATAAAGGGCGACACGGTGGCTCAGTGGTTAGCACTGTCGCCTCACAGCAAGAAGGTCACTGGTTTGAGCCTCAGCTGGGTCAGTTGGCATTTCTGTGTGGAGTTTGCATGTTCTCCCTGTGTTGGCGTTGGTTTCCTTGGAGTGCTCCGGTTTCCTCCACAGTCCAAAGACATGTGCTATAGGTGAACGGAATAAATTGGCCGTAGTGTATGAGTGTGAATGGGTGTGTATGGGTGTTTCCCAATACTGGGTTGTAGCTGGAAGGGCATCAGTGCATGTGCTGGATAAGTTGGCGGTTCATTCTGCTGTGGCGAGCCCTGTTGAATAAAGGGACTTAACCGAAGGAAAATTCATGAATAAATAAAAAAAAATCAACGTTTTTTTTTTTGCACAAAAGTAAATGTAAACATGTGTGGACCAATATGAGGATGAGTAATGAATGAAATATTTTTCTGTGCTCCGTTCCTTTAAAAGTGTTTGAATAGTTCAGATGAGTCAGAGATCTCGGGAGGTTCTGCAGGTTCTCCAGATTTCACATGGGTGCCGTTTATTTGAATTGTTGTCAAGGAATCAGCAGCTTTTGTGGAAAAAATGAGCGTCCTCCAAACAATCTCTCAGCATTCATCTGCAAAACAGATCTAAACACCCGGAAATACTGGAAAGCTTGCAGTACTTCACTCCAGTTTAAAAACAGAATAAAATATTATGTGTGTTATGAATATGTTTAATTTTTAAAATATTTATTATGTAATAATTATTTCATTCATTTTCCTTCAGCTTATATTTATCATGGGTCTCCACAACGGACCAACTTGTATGTTTTACACAGTGGATGCCCGTCTAGCTGCAACCCATTACTGGTAAACAGCCATACACTCCTGTTCTCTCACACACACACACACTAAAGCCAATTTAGTTTCTTCAATTTACCTAGCGTATGTCTTTGGACTGTGGGGGAAACCGAAGCACCCGGAGGAAACTCACTCCAACATGGAGAGAACAAGCAAACTCCACAAAGAAATGCCAACTGACCCAGTCGGGAATCAAACTAGTGATCTTCTTGCTGTTAGGCGACTCCTCTAACAACTGAGCCACTGTGTCGTACTTATATAATATTGTATAAATATATTTTTCTCTAATATACGCAAGTAAATAAATTAAAAGTTGATAAAAGATAGAAGTTTTTAGAAGCCATCCTGTACCTCATTGTTTGTGTGTGTGTGTGTGTGTGTGTGTGTGTGAGAGTGAGTGAGTCAGTGATGTTGGTCTAATCAGCACAGAACTCAGAAGTCAGCCAGAACAGAAAGTGCTTCAAACAGGAGACACGAGCATGTGGATTTTCTCTGTATTTGCATAAGTCAAGGTAAGCGCTTCATATTTTCTTGGAATCACTCTTATTTACTCTAAGGGTTGATCCTGAGTATATCAAATACTCCATTTTTGAGTTTTTAATTGATTTTTATTTCTTTTTGAGATATTAAAGCCTGTTTAAAGCAAATAAACATTAGCATTATGACAATAGAAGCTGTGCTGAAAATATTGTTGAGTTCTTTATAATAACACTCATCCTCATAATAATAATAAGATTATTTATTTATATATTTTTCAACTACAGCAAACATGCATTGAAAAAAAATGGCTCACTAAATTTTTGTAAACAATTTATACGGGCTGAATTTAAACAAACAAAGTTGAAATTTTTTAATTTGATTTGTTTAAATTAACATAAAATAAATAGTTAGCAACCAGTTACCTTAAAAAAAAATTGTAAATCCAATTAATAATTTTTTTGTGTGATATAACTTTTGTGTGAATTAACTGGTTTGCAGTTATTTTTAGTTAGTTTGCAGAATTTTTGTTCAAGTTCAGCCCATAAAAATTGTTTGCAACCACCTACAAAAATTGAGCAAATCAAATAAACCATTTTTTCAGTGAATGTTCTGATTCTCGTTGAACATGCAGTAAAATTGTTTATTAAAGGGGTTCACCCAAAAATGGAAATCCGGCACTAAATTCATGCCCTTTACTTGTTTCAAACCATTATTAGTTTCTTCCTTCTACCACAATAGTAGATATTTTACAGAAATCTGGAAATCTGTGACCATTGACTTCCATAGCCAAAAAATGTTAATGAAACAAAGTTAATGCTTACAGGTTTTTAACTTTCCTCAAAATCTTCATTCGTGTTCAACAGAAGATAGAAACTAATAAAGGTTTTTAACAAGTGAGTAAATGATGACAGAATACTCATTTTGAGGTGAACTGTTCATTAAAGTCAACAAGAAAGTGCTGGATTTTGAAATGCAGGATGTTCTGCAGAAAGTCTGATTTGTCTGTTTGTCTTTAAGGTTCGACATGAATGAAAGCGTGCTGCTTGTGTGTGTGAGTCTTTGGCTGCTTGTATCTGCGGCCAGATGCCAGAACAGAAGACAGTCTGGAGAAACACCGAACAACCTCACCACAAAACAAGACAATGGTAAATGTTTCAGTCTTGGCTTCTCTCTTATTGACTTGTCTTAAAGGGATAGTTCACCCAAAAAATGAAAATTCTGCCATTTTCTCATCCTCCACTTGTTTTAAACCCGTTTGTGTTTCTTCTGTTGGACACAAAGACAGATGTGTGGATGACAGTAGAAGGCTAAACAAATTTGCTTAATTCCATATAGTCCATTTTTCAAGCCATAGTCCATTTTTTTGGTTTTCTAACTCTAAACAACCTGTTTTCCATGCACTGTAAAAAAAAAAAAAAAAAAAATCTATAATTTTACGGTTTATTTCCAGAAGCTGGGGTGCTCAAATAATGTAGCCCATAGTTTATAGCAAGCATCATGTTTTTAGTTAGATTGTGTCGTCTGTCATAGGTCTGTTGTTTACTGAGAAGATATATTATTTGAGTTTATCACCAGAACTAGATACTGTAAAATGCAGTGTTTCCTGTAGGATTTTTTCCCGCTGTGGCTGCAGGTCTTTTAAACAAATCCAAAATATGTCAGCATCATTTCATTGTACAAGTCATCAGGCCCGGCCCTAACCTATATGGCGCCCTAGGCTAGATTTCAGGTGGCGCCCCGTCACATCGCAGTAAATTCCACTGCTAGTGTATAGTCATAAGAAACTAAATAGCTTTTTGAGCGACTACTACAAGCTGGGAAAACGTCAGATAAATATGCCAATGCAATCAACATCACTGCTGAATAGATCTAATATTTACACATTTGCTTGAGGAAGTAATGATGGGGCTAGTTACATTACTATTACTATTTTCCATAACATCTATGCCCTTCCATACCATTAGCTGACGTTAAAACTAACAGATAGCACTATAGCTATTTATTGATTAGCAATGTTATGTCATATCTGTCAACGTTGGGATGTAAAAAATATGGGACAACACATAGCTTCAAATGATAGAAAACATAGCAAACAATAGAAAATATTGGCAATAAAATAAAAGGTTTAACCTATTAAAAACAATGGCCTATACAGAAATTAAATAAAGCTATAAAATTTAGTTGACTTTTAATTGTATTTGCACATTGATTAAAGTCACTAGTTATTTAGTGAAGAGCAGCAAATGAATCTCTCATTGTGTTTTGTTTGATAACAGAGAAGTTAATGTAAGAATGCACAGATCTATATGAATGAATGAATGAAGCATTCGACTACTGTAGAAACTGTTTGTGCTCATTTAAGAGAAAATTGGTTGTGTTTAAAATAAAACACGCAGGACAAAGCAAAAAAAAAAAAAAAAAGCACTTTTCCGACGGTGCCTTACTGAGAGCTCCACTCCGCGCGAGCTCAGCTCTCCCGGCTAAACGCATATCCCCAGCTAAACGGAGCAGTGGTCATAATGTCGAGTGAAAAAAAAAAAAGGACTGCTGTGAAACATAACCAGCTTTGTCTTTTTGTAGGAAACACACTTTCTTTTTAGGCTAAGATGTATTTGAGTTATTGCCATCTATCACTGAATGTGTCACAAACAAAACCAGCTTAACCGCGCTCATTTCTGGCGCCCCCCCTGGATGTACAGCGCCCTTAGCATTAGCCTATTCTGCCTATGCCACGGGCCGGCCCTGCAAGTCATCACATGCACTAGAGTCTGTTCAATTGTCAAAATTAGCCAAGAACATAATACACAGTGTTTCCTCTAGGATTTTTTGCCAGCTGTGGCGGCAGGTCTATTACACAAATCTACCAACTACCTCTGGCGTTATTTCAATGACAAATGGAGAAATGTGGTCAGCGCAGTATTACACGCCAGGATCGCATTCATGTAACGTTAATACGAGCATGCCAATCTCTGCTTGCGGGCCGATTTCCTCTGAGGGCGCACAAGAAGTCTTGTGCAAGAGCAAACACAGATTTATTCGCAGATCTTCTTGTGCGCTCTCAAATAAACACTGCTGAAGTGCGATTTAGTCCGTTTATGTAGTGAGTATGTCTCCAACTTTTATTAGATTTGCTAGGAGTATAAATGTCTACAATAGATCGGTGTTAATGCATCCTGGAGTAAAGTGAAACAGCAATAAACTCCAGCAAGATACCGTTAAAGTCTTTGTATGCAGAATCACAGACCCTTATCTATAAATAAAGTATAATTTTGGAAACTGTGTTCATCTTAACTGAAAGCTACGTCGTGTTTGCTGGCCTTACGTATCGCACACCTGTCAGTAAGTCAGTCAGTCTGTCAGCACGTCATCTTAAAGTGTTAAACAAATAGCGCACAGCCCTACTATGGTAACAGAAAAGTTTGCGCTGTTATAATTCACTTACCTTTGAATGCGTTTTGGTTCAATTATAACCCGCTATTAAGAACAACAACAACAACAACAATGAATGATTTGTTTTGAATAAATAAGAAGCTGTAGCTGTGGCGGGATGAATTTTGGTGTGGCGCCCCACCATGGAAGAATGTATGTAGCGGAAACCATGTAATGTTTAAACAAAACTAAATAAAAATAATGGGACAGTATCGGGATCGGATCTGTATCGGTTGATATCGGTATGAATTTTGGTATTAAGATTGGATCGGTTTAAAAAAAATGGTATCGGTGCATCCCTACTCTATGGCATCAGTATGAAAAATCTCTGTGAAGTTGGCACTCCATAAAAAGTTGAAGCTACACCATTTGTTTCTGCTATGTTTGTGCACAATTGTGCTAGTTTGGTGTTTTAGATATTAAACCTGTTTTTTGACAGTGTCACTTTACTCTTCACCCAATGTTACTCAAATCTCCAAATCAGCTCAGTCTGATTGTATCATTGAAACAAAAGCTGTATCTATTTTCCTTTTTTTAAATAAAACCAAAATGGTTTCAGAAGTGGTGATGACACACTTCACCCCAGTTTGTCTAAATGGCAAAAAAACTGATGTAGTTTGTTTCCTCTCGATTTGTCCCATTGAAATAAACTCCATATATTATTCCATCTTTGTAGAATACCAAACAGAACTGACAGGCAGTGACACCACTGTGCACCCTCACAAATACTGGCGTCACACTGACAAAAAAAAATACTGTTTAATGTCTCAAACACCAAACCAGCACAAAAGGTTCTTCAGTGAGGCTTTTTTAGATCAGTGTTTCTCAACCACGTTCCTGCAGGACCACCAGCTGCAGGAATCATTAATTATGAGCTGATGATCTAAATCGTGTGTTTAGTTGAGAAAACATGGAAAATGTGCAGAGCTGACGGTCCTCCAGGAACGTGGTTGAGAAACACTGCTAATATCAAACAGTGTTCGGTCAATTTTTCCTATACCCCATCAGACTTTACTACCTCCCATTCAAAATACAGTGGTCTCAAGCTTCATTCCTTGAGGGCCACAGCACTGCAGAGTTTAGCTCCAACCATCTCCAACTCACACCTGCTTAATAGTTTATGAACACTTTGATTCGTTGGTTCAGATGCATTTAATTAGGGTTGGGGCAAAACTGTGCAGAGCTCTCCAGGAATCGAGTTTGAGACCTATGAGGTAGCACATTATGATGACGAAATATGATGCCTATCAGACTGTGCTACCAGCATAACTTTTGATGTGGAGTGGTGTGATATGAGGATGTACAGTAATATTGCCCTAACCTCCAAACCGTTCAAATACAGTGTTAGCATATTCTGTCTTGTAGGATTGAAATGGCAATAGTTCTTTGAAGAACTTAGCTGCAGATGAAAGTTTAGAACCAGTTGAGTGTGAGTAAATGGTGAGGAAATGTTGATTTTTGGGTAAATATCCAAAATGATCTTTGTTAAACCCCTCAAAAATGGTGCATGTAAACTTGTCTTCATTAAACATTCATTTAAATAAAAGTTCATCCAAAATTAACCCTTCACTTGTTCCGTTTGAGTTTCTTTCTTCTGTTGAACACAAAAGATGATATTTCTACGAAAGCTAGAAACAAGTAACCCATTAACATCCATGGTATTTGTTTTTCCTATTATTATTAGTGTCCCACTTGTGACGATATACAGCCACATCGCACAGCTAAGAGTGTGATGTTGTATTTACACAACAGTTTGCAACATAATCGTGTGTATACAAAAGAAAATCAAACACGGAGAGTCTCAAAACCCTTTTATAAGAGCTTTCTTCAAAATATTTTTAGAGTTTAACAGAATAAAAACTTAAAAAGGTTAGTAACCACCTGAGGGAGAGTAAATAGTGAGCACATTTAATTTATTTTTTAATTGAACTACCACTTCAAACCTTATACCATGTCTCATTTCAGCGTGTTCACTAGAGGTCGCCTTCATCCTGGACAGCTCTGAGAGTGCCAAAGGTCTTCTGTTTTCCCGCCAGAAAGAGTTTGTGCGCAGCTTCAGTAGGCGGCTGATGGAGATGCAGGTGTCCGGCTGGCACCTGAGGACACGTTTGGCGCTTATCTACTACAGCAGTTCAGTGCATATCAACCAACACTTCAATGACTGGCAGGACCTCGACGTCTTTCTGGACCAACTGGAAGATGCCAGCTACATCGGCCAGGGCACGTACTCCACATATGCCATTTCCAACGCCACACAACTTTTCATCCGCGAGACCTCAGGGCAGAGTGTCAGAGTTTCACTGCTCATGACCGATGGCTCTGACCATCCACGAAACCCTGACATCATGACGGTGGTCGCCGAAGCCAAAAGCCACAATATCAAGATCTTTGCGATAGGGCTGTCGATGCGGGCGATGGACAGCAACAGCGCTAAACTGAGGGCAGTGGCGAGCAGTCCAGCGCAGCAGTATTTCCACAGCCTCACAGACCGTGGCCTGGAGGAACGGCTCCTGCAGCAGATTGTGAGACTTTTAGTCACTCAACGTTTCTATATCATATTTACAGTGACAGTCAGGGGCAATGCTAGCAAGTTTGGGCTCTTTGACTGTAGGCGCTCCAAAAGTCAGTTAAAATCTATGGCCTTAGAATTGTTCTAATCCCATCCACACGCCCAAGGTCCACTATGTAGTTGACAATAGCCTACACCTCCTCTTACCTTAAACCTAACTATCACAGTAGCATGAGCCTGCCTTAGTGGGTGGTACAAGGTCCACTACGTAGTTGACGCGATAGCCTACACCTCTCCCTACCTTAAACCTAACCATCACAGTAGCATGAGCCTACCTTAGTGGGTGGTACAAGGTCCACTACGTAGTTGACGATCGCCTACACATCCCCTTACCTCAATCCTAACCATCACAGTAGCATGAGCATACCTTAGTGGGTGGTACAAAGTCCACTACGTAGTTGACGATCGCCTACACCTCCCCTTACCTTAAACCTAACCATCACAGTAGCATGAGCATACCTTAGTGGGTGGTACAAGGTCCACCACGTAGTTGACGCGATCGCCTACACCTCTCCCTACCTTAAACCTAACCATCACAGTAGCATGAGCCTACATTAGTGGGTGGTAAAAGGTCCACTACGTAGTTGACGATCGCCTACACCTCCCCTTACCTCAATCCTAACCATCACAGTAGCATGCGCATNCCTTAGTGGGTGGTACAAAGTCCACTACGTAGTTGACGATCGCCTACACCTCCCCTTACCTTAATCCTAACCATCACAGAAGCAAGAGCATACCTTAGTGGGTGGTACAAGGTCCACTACATAGTTGACGATCACCTACACCTCTCCCTACCCTAAACCCAACCATCACAGTTGCATGAGCGATACCTTAGTGGGTGGTACAAGGTCCACTACATAGTTGACGATCGCCTTTACCTCCCCCTAAACCCAACCATCACAGTAGCATTGATGCTACATTGGTGTTGGTACAAGGTCCACTACATAGTTGACAATCACCTACACCTCCCTCTACCCTAAACCCAACCATCACTGTAGCATGGACGCTACCTTAGTGGGTGGTACAAATCAAATCAAATCACTTTTATTGTCACATCATCAGCAGCACGTGTGCTATGATGAGAGAAAAGCTTAGGTGCTGGCTCACGACAGTACAAAATGCAGATAGTGCAAATACAACGACAGTGCAAATTAAAGGCAGTGCAAATACAATGACAATGTGAAATTGACAGCAAGATGTGCAATGAATAGGTGTCTACATAGTTGTAGGCAGCATTGTTTCAAGTATGGATTGGTTATAGTGCAGTACATGCTACATATTGATGGTGTGCAGTGAGGGGTATGGAAGAGTCTCTGTGTGGTGTGTTAAGTGTTCATCAGCCTGATAGTCTGAGGGAAGAAGCTTTCCTTCAGCCGGCTGGTGCGTGATCGGATGCTGCAGAACCGTCTGGTCCACAACATAGTTGATGATAGCTTACACCTCCCCCTACCCTAAACCCAACCATCACAATAGCATGGGCGCCACCTTAGTGGATGGTACTAGCTCCACTACGTAGTTGACAATCGCCTACACCTCCCTCTACCCTAAACTCAACCATCAAAGTAGCATGGGTGCTACCATAGTGGGCAGTACAAGGTCCACTACATAGTTTACAATCACCTTTACCTCCTCTTACTGTAAACTCAACAGTCACAGTAACATGGGCGCTGCCTTAGTGGGTGGTTCAAGTTCCACTACATAGTTGACTATCGCCTACACCTTCCTCTATCTTAAACCCAACTGTCACAGTAGCATGGGCGCTACCTTAGTGGGTGGTACAAGGTCCACTATGTACAGTAGTTGACGATCGCCTATGTCATCAAGCTGCAGACTGCAGCGGGGACATCTTGAAATATTTTGAAAACCTTTGAGGGGCATGTGCTCAAGGTGAACACCCATGGGGAGGTGGTGAGTAATCTTGAAATGAAGGGGGAGCGGGCAGTTTAGGGGTGGATTATCTAAAGCAGGGGTGTCAAACTCAATTCCTGGAGGGCCGAAGCCCTGCACAGTTTAGTTCCAACCCTGCTCCAACACACTTACCTGTAGGTTTCAAACAAGCCTGAAGGACTCAATTAGTTTGATCTGGTGTGTTTAATTAGGGATGGAACTAAACTGTGCAGAGCTGCGGCCCTTTTGGAACTGAGTTTGACACCTGTGATCTAAAGAGTAGGCGGGGGTGGGGGGCAGCCCTGTGTAGAGACTATCCAAGAGCAGAGAGGGGGGTGGGTACTGGTTGGGTAGGATGCCGCA